GTATAACAGTGATCGTTATGCAGTAGATAATTCTACATATGGTCGTAGTTCTGTCAGAGTGACTTTTACGATGTGGTGTTTTAAAGTACTCGCTAAAATGCTTGCAAAACGACAACTTTTGCGCAGTTTTATTACCTTAGACTTTAGTTATGTGTAGCCTTGCATGTAAGAAAAAATTGAGTTTGTGAAGTTATGTCATAAAGTAGCTACTAGAGGCGATTATGTCAAATTGATATTTGACATAAAATGTTATTTCAGTTCGCTGAATTCACGGAAAGCTTATTTAGGTTCAGATATATTTTAGTAGCGTATGTTAGCTAACCACGTATTTTGAGTTATATCCATGCTGTTATTAATATCATAAGCGCAATCAAAAGCATGTTAATATTATCATTAGCGCAATGATTAACATATTAAGCGATTTAGTCTCAATAAGCTGTTTTATTAAATAAAAGGCTATACTTACAGCTGCTTAGAATAAGAAATGGACTCTACCTTTTTTCTATTTGGGATGGGCCCTAAATTTTTATATAGCTAAAGGAATCTAAACCTACTTTTATCAAAAGACAAATCGACAATATATACATTATTAGAAGCATTTGAATTAATTTGTTTGAACCCAGCATACTAATCATATGGAAATAAACTATTCATCCTTACCTATAGAATGCACTCGGTTTCCGGGAGCCAATGGAACGTCACATTTTAAATATAGAAACATTAAGCTGGAACAGACGTGTTCAGCTGCTCGTTAAGCCAAAATATTGAATTTCTAAACTTAACGTGCGTGAATAAGGTTTAGTTTTGCGTGAAGTATTTCACCACAAAGATTTAAGCCTGTGACTGGATTTAGAAACAAACACGAAAGAAGAAAATTGTGAATACCAATTGTACTGTCTGCGGCTTTCTGAAATTGTCTCGACGTAAAGTTCTTGGTCAGCTTTAAACACATTTATCTTTCAAGTCATTACTTGTCTACAATCCAGAGCTATGCAGCTTGAATAAATTACACTGTGACTTTAATGAAAACTATAGTACTAATAGCTTTATAAATAATAAATAAATAAATATTTTAGGACACATTTTTACACAACATTCTCTAGTCCCAAACTTAGCAACGCTTGTACTATGGGTACTAGATAACTTATAAACATACTTAAACATACTATTCTTTTGTAAAATAAATACATATTATACATATATAAACACCCAGACACTAGAAAAAGACTATGTTCATCACACAATCTTTTTCCAGTAGTGGGGATCGAACCCACACCCTCTGGCGCAGAAAGGCAATTACACTACCCACTACGCCATTCGGGTCTTCAGCTTTAACCTTACTGTCTTCAACTTAAAGGTGTATCTTTAAGCCTTAAGGTTTGGTTAAAAGTCTACGATTGGGCATAATGTGGAGGTGTGTTCTTAAATCAAAATGATTCACACGTTGGAGAATTATTAAAAATCACAGGTTTAATTTTTACTATCTGGGTATAATTTCACGAAGTTGTAAATATTTCCATTAGCAAAGCTTTTTTTAGGAATTAATCTAGAGTAATGTAACAGCCGATAAATGTCCCACTGCTGGGAAAACGCCCCCTCTGTACATAGAGTATCGTGGATTCGCTGATTTCACATATCTAGTCTACAGTCCACCATTTAGAAAATTTCCTTTTCAAAGTTTTCTCACGATGCTTTCCATCACCGCTGAGTACGTGATAGGTCAGCGATTAAAATTAGCAATTTTAAGTGGTGCCGCCACCGGGGATCGAACTAAGGCTCGAGTATATTAAAATTAAAGGCGAGCGCCCGGACACTAAGCCACTACGGCTCACAAAGGTTGTTTTATTTTCATACAACTTCATTTTAAAAATGGACAAAACTATCACTTCAAGGAAAGTTTGGCAGTGAAGAAAAATGCAAGGGCATGCCTTTGATGATTCACAAAAATTGCTTGGTCCGTATAAAGTTATTACCAGTGAGTATTACTGATGAGTGCGGTAGTCGGCGCCTATTTTATTAAAAAGTTGGCAACGCATTCGCAGTCCTACGAATGAACCTACGAACCGCTAGCTCGCTTGCCATCTATTTATATAAAAAAATCCATTCCCATTAAATGCACACATGGTATCGAAATAGAATGTTCAATTTAATGAACTTCCCTAAAAGTTAGAGATAAGTTGAAAACAACGTGAGTCAGTTCCGACTCGCGAGGGGTAGGTTAAAAATACTCACGCGCTGTCGATATTTACCGTTCAGTAAAGCTCGGTCCGTCGCGCGTGATGCATCACCGGGATTTTTGTAATTGGAGCGTTAAATCCGTGTATTAATTTGGTCCTCACTCGTTTAAGCGTCCGCGGAAGCGTCGCTTCGGTAAGAGTCGTCATCATTTTCATTACTTTTTAATCTGTCTTCATCAACCGGTATTTTGTTTTTGGTACATTCTAATATAAAATTGTGTAGCGAAATTTTAAATGAAAAATTGAAATGATTTTCATTTGAATCATTTCCGTTTACCGACTGGATTTCAATCAACGTTTGATAGGGAAAGAAGTATTTTAAAACAAAAATGTGCGCAATTAATATTCACGTTTTCTTTTTTTTTTTTTTCATTGTACGCAAGCGATCTGATAGGGTCGATGCATAATTACCAGGCCAATGGTTTACATTTATGGGATGACTTCATTTTGCAATTTTGTGCGCATGAATACAAAATATTATCTGTTATTTTTATGGATACATATATGTAATATAAGTGCGCGTATATTATACAACTAATTATGCGTATTTAATATTGAAATTATATTATTTTCATCTAAAATTATATAATTTATAACAATATAGGAAACAGTCGAACGCATACATTGTAATAATTTGTACTATTTTGTCTTTAGTTTTTATCGATTCTCATGTCAGCTTCCGTACATTAGGAGGGACTCCGGGATCTCCCATGAAACGTACAGTTGTCCCTCGGTACTATGCCTGAGCACGCCTCGGAGAAGGATAAACCTTCTCCGGTTGGGTGAGGCAACCGGAGAAGGTCTTGCAGCAGCACGAGACCACTTTGTGCTGCTGCCCATCTGTGTCCCCTTTTAGTCGCCTTCTACGATAGGCAGGGGATACCTTAGCCCTATTCTATCAGCCAGGGACTACAGGGCTGACAGTGAGCCTCTAATATCCTTTTAATGGTATAAAACAAGCTTAAATAAGACAAGTTCTTAGCGTACATTTATTAAATTTACCAATGGGATCATGAAAAGAATTAAAGAATTAGTTTAAATTAAATTTGTTCGTTTTAGGCCCTTCGGGATCGCCAAGCCTTGCTTAAAATGCGAAAAAACACTGTAGATAAAAGACGTTGATATTTGAGTCGGTGTTGCAATATACCGTTTAGTTTGTTGATTAAAGCGAATCCGGAAAACTTATGTTCAATTTGTAGAAAAACGAAGAAAAACTTTTCTAATTTTTCTAAAAATTTTAATGTCTCATCTTAAATGCAAATATTAGCACTATAAATTTTTTTCATTTAGATAACATATTTTAATCGTCTGTCTCGTCACTAAAGCTTTAGACAGAAAAGGTCTGTGACGACACTTATAATATCCATAATGACCCTTTTCACACGTTACAAAAATTATATCTTATATGATAATTTAATAGCGTAATTTAATACCTCACCATATCTAGAATCAAGTCGCTCTCCAATTAGTAGGGTTGACCAATTAACCCCTAATTTAAATTTGTAGATTACTCGAGCTCGCTATAGATTTATGTTATCTAACATTATTTAATTTTAATTAAGATATGATGTTTAAAGTACTTACGATGTTTGAATACTTTTAATGAAGCCATTTACACTATTTCGACACTGAGAGTCTGTTTTGTTTTTATTGTATACTATAACGTGACTTTTATATTTTTAGTTTCTTTTACGGTAAATGTTGATATTTTTAATTTAATTTTTTTACCTTCCAAAGAGTTCAATTTATAGTAAACTAGCGACCCGGCCCAGCTTCTCACGGGTGCAAAGTATTATACATATAAACCTTCCTCTTGAATCACTCTATCTAGTAAAAAAACCACATCAAGATCCGTTGCGTAGTTTTAAAGATATAAGCGTAAGGTGAGGTGTCTAAACCACAATTCGCTCAGAGGAATAGCTTAGAGATCAAAAATGAGAGTCGACTGGGCAATTAAACTATATCACTACATACACACACACGTATAAAACAAAGTCGTCCCACTGTCTGTCTGTTCCTATGTCTGCTTAGATCTTTAAAACTACGCAACGGATCTTGATGCTGTTTTTTTTACTGGATAGAGTGATTCAAGAGGAAGGTTTATATGTATAATTATTTCACATTATTATAACTTAAACGGTGTAACAACTCGGGGGTCGTGAATTACACTATTTTGGATTCAGGTTTTCCTTGTATTTTGATTTCCTGCATATTTATATAAGAATTAATTGACTTAAAATCTAACAAGTTTTGATAGATGGTTCAAAAAGTTTAGCTTGTAACTTGAAAAAGAGAATAATAACATTTTAAGGTTTTAATTGTTACAAATGTTTTTTATCTTAATCTATATTTATGTCGTCATTAAATAAGTTTCAGCTTTTCTTGTCAGGTATACAATTTAAATCAGAAAATATTTATACGCCTTCATAGCTTGTCTTTCTTACTTTGAACCTTAAAGCACAAAAGCTAATTATAGAACCTTCTTGTTTCAGCCGACCCCGACGGACGACGTCGCGGACGCCCGATGTGAAATAAATCAAGCGTCACCATCGATTTAACATTCCCACTAAAAAGTGTACACGGAAATAAACATGGCGCTTAAATTCAACACCCGCGCAACCGGAATAGAGCCGAGCGCGCGCCCCACGTACAGGATGAGATGAGCTGTCGCCCAAAATGTGAATCAACGAAAATAACTCGGTTACCCTTATGCTGGTGTCGAACAACGGGAACCCTATTTAGTCGCCGAGTGACGGGACAGAGATGTCGAACTGTTTGTGCGGGAACCGGGTCAACAGTAGGTGCGCTCTGCCGCTGTTCCTTTTGCTACGGACTCGTGTGTGCTTAGTGCTGTTAACGGTGGTCGGTGTGTGCGGCGGATACGTCGAGCAGAAGTTCGCGATGGAGCCCCAGGACCAGGTAATGTTCACGCTTCTCTTTAACGGAACGTATCCCCATCACCAATGAGTTTATGTATCGGTAACCACGAACTCTTGAAAATTATGTCCGTCAACACACGAGGTGTTAGGTGGTAAGAATGAATCCTTGTATGCATATATTCGAAGAACGAATATCAATATCATGACCTTTTATTTATTATGTTCTTCTTGTTTCCCTTGCTGTTCTTTGCTGTCGCTTTTGCCCATTCCCATCACTGTCGCCTATACTTTCGGTATAGAGGTATTTTCTGACTGCATTCTTTTCTTCCGGCAAGACAGGGTTATGCTGAGTTTTATCACAAATTCTTGCCGTTCTTACTCGGTCTCATGGATATCATGGACATCATTCTTACGTGGTAAATAATCACTTCAGATATCAACCAACAATTAAAGATTATTCCAGTAGCTTTCAAATTGTAAGTACAACGAGCGTGACAAACAACGATAGCTGGTTCACTGTCATTCGAAGAAAATATATTTTAAAGATGCTTATAATAAAGGCGATTTTTGTCAATGTATTTACGTTTTAGACTGCTGTCGTCGGATCTAGGGTCACGCTACCGTGCCGGGTAGAGAACAAGGTCGGTCAGCTTCAGTGGACGAAGGACGACTTCGGCTTAGGCCTGCATAGAGACCTAAGCGGATACGACCGATACAAAATGATTGGAAGTGACGAGGAAGGTAAGATTGCGGATTTTGTTTTTCCGTTTCATAAAACGAACAAATAGCTGAGGTTAAGAAAGAAATTAGCCTTCCCTTCCACTAAAACAAACTTAACGATTCACACAAAAATGTAATGTGGAAAGAAATGTTAATATTACGTGCAAAACAGGCTCCAATGAAGTCACATATTCGGCCACGAATGCTTACATAAAGTGTTATCAGTAGCCATATTATTGTTTAAGGAAAAACATATTACGTGTACAAAATTAAGTATAGTTATATACAAAATCGTATTATACTTTTTAATATTCATTTAATTTTCCATTACAACAGGGGATTATTCGTTGGATATAAGAGATGTGACATTAGAAGATGACGCCAAATACCAGTGCCAAGTCAGCTCTGGACTTCGAGGTTCGTATTTTATGTTAAATCAAATTAACCTTCTAGAAACTACGGCAGAGCTTAAGTTTGACATAACATTTTGCAAATAACCTCTTTTTCAAGCATTCTTCATTATGTCCAGCCCTATTCAATATAAAAACACGTGGCGTTATTTTTGGTAGTGATGTTTTGTAGCTCTGGGATATAATTATCCTTTACAGAACCTCTTTTTACTCTTCTAGCTCTCAATACTTAACTCTTGTATTGTCAATTACTGTATAATGCCTTTCACTCGAGGAATTAGATATATCAATAGATAATGTATAAATGAAATTGCTTTAGTCGGACAAAGTTGGAACAAACTTCGTAATCATTTCAACAATTCATTTTAATCACGCTGAAGTTAATTAATTATCTAGAAATGGACTAAATTGGAGCGTAATATAAAACGTCACAAGGATTGACGAGAAACAAGGATTCATTTGATGAATTGTTGTCAACTTTACTGTAAGCGATATTCCTCGGAATCTATAATACCAATTAAGGAGTTTCATTTTAATTAGGATCCGAACGATTGATTGCCTGTTAGTTAACAAAGGAGAAAGTTCGTATTGTTCGGATTATCAATGTCTAATTTTGTTCACAATGCGCAAAACTCGTTGGGAATATTCACAAAACTTTTTTTTAGGTAATTTTAATTTTCTCCTTGGGAAAATATTACAATTTTATTAAGCATTGAAATAATTATCAAACTAATGGCTCGAAAGGAGACCCGTGTTCTAACGCCGTTAGTATATCAGTGATATATCATCGGGTGCAGTGACTGTACATTTTACCATTTTCTCCTCACAAAATTAGTGAAAAAACCTTATTGCATTCCTAGACATTAACTTATATTTATAAAATTTAGTAATTTTGCTTAGAATTTATAAACATTCGTTATTTAATATCTATCTCTTAGAAAGGTTAGTTTAAGGTATATTGCACGATATATATCAGTCTACCATATTGTCTGGTTTGAAGCGATGGCATCCACGAGAACTTTTAAGCTCATCGATTCGTTTCCTTATTGTCTATCAACAGCATTGTTTTTTGCAACTCCAAACATTTGTTTTAGCAAATTTAAAATCCTGGTAATTTCTTTTACGCTGTCATTTATTCAGTTTTCCATCACCTTTGGCTGGATATTTCTTTTGGCACCGACTATATTAGTAAAGGTCAATTCGTTTGCTGCGCTGCAATTGAATTTTAATGTATCTTTTACCCTTTTTAGCCATTGTTATTGCACTTTTTATTGCACACGATTAGCCAATGTTATTGTTTTTCTGACTGTTCTTTTATTAATAATTAACGCTCTTACAGCTTGTTAATACAAAAAACAATAATAAGAACCAAAAGTAAGTCAAGTGTGTTTTAGATGAGGTTTTTTCCTATTTCTCCTTTCCTTAGTCCCTCAAAAACACAGCCCATTTCTAAGACTAAAAAGCTATCTTAACTTATTTAGTGTTTTTGGAGATATTCTAACGTATTTGAATTTTAATTCTAATTAATTTTTAACCTTCTCGTTTTTTTTTTCATACTCCACTCATGTATTTTTTTTACATTTGTTACAATATCTCCAAAATTTGATATTTTAACCGCAATGTACAATTACACTATAATTAATGTTATCTTCTTTTCTAATTGCAAAATCATTATTATAATCGTATAATGCTATGTCGCGTAATGCTGAGTTATTTAATTAATTCGGTTAGAGAGTTTGCTATCAGTATGATAGCGCAAAGGTCTGTGAAATTAATTTACATAAGCCTTTGTGAACAAATGCCGAATCTTTTGATAAATTCACTTTCTATTTCAATGTCCCTTTGGGTACTTTCATTTAAACTGCGAAGAGCCTTTTCGTCTTTTGTTTCAAACTTATCCTTGAAAGTTATGGAGAACACTCGTTTATATATTTAGCAACATTGATGTCCAAGAAAATATATTAATTATATATAGATGTGATACCTGTCAGGCACCTTAGTGTGGGTTGCGTGGCGAACTATTATTTCTTTCGACTTATTCTTTGTCCTTACAAGGCATAGGTATATCTAACTGTAGACCATATTCATACAGCAACTTTTAATTCACTAGTTTTGGTTTATAATTATAAATCTTATGGGCACCATTGTCCAGTATTTTTTAAAGGCTAAGGTAATGATGTTCTTGATAGACGCAACGGATAGTGTACCCGTAAATCTGACCTGAGTTGATCTTTCCTCACCTCTGATCAACCTCGACTATAATAGCTTCTTTTTTAACCGACTTCAAAAAAGGAGGAGGTTTTTCAATTCGACCGTATATATTTTTATTTTTTTATGTGTGTTCGGGGATAACTTCGTCATTTATGAACCGATTTTGATGATTCTTTTTTTGTTGGAAAGGAGATATCCCAAGTGTAATAACATGAGTCCAGAGAAATCAAGGGTAATCTTCAAATGTTATAGGTGTGGCCAATATTTTTAGTTTCCTGTTTGAAGTCGGCTTTTTTTTTTTGTTCAAAATTATTATAACTTTTAATTTTTACATATTCAACTCGGATAACTAAAAGAACTATCAGAACTCAATCAGAACCTATCGATAAGAGTCATTTCAGTGTTGAAACTAATTGGATAGCTGATAATTCTTATAAACAAAAACATTAATTAGACTAGTCGTAATTCCGTTTAATAGAAATATTGGCTTGATAACCGAGGGATTGCTATCTCACTTATCTGGCTAATATTTCCTGTGTAATGTGAAATTTGACCTGGAGTGTAAACATGAGGCAGGTCTATATGGAATATGTATTAACATTTAACATAATTGGGATGAAATAATAAATGTTTTATTGAAACATTTGTGTAAAGAAATAAGTGTTACGTATGAAATCTCACATGTTAATGGAAAACAGCCAAAGACCATGCATACCTACTTAACTCCTATTGGTTAAAACAAAAGTGCGCTTGTATAATTTGGTGGTATTTATTAGAGACTAAGAATGACTTAAAGATATAGATGAAAAGATATTGTTTTATCAAATCTATCTTCTTATATATAAAAATGGATTGCTGTTCGTTAGTCTCGCTAAAACTCGCGAACGGCTGGACCGATTTGGCTAATTTTGGTTTTTAAATATTTGTGGCAGTCCAGGGAAGGTTTAAACGATGAGAAATTATGGAAAAATTGCATGGAGAATCGAAATAGCAACAATTTTATTTTCCCATACAAACTGTTCCTACCTGTCAAACATTTTATGGGTGCGTTCCGGAAATTCTTTTTCAATAAATAATTTATATGGCAAAAGAACGTTTGCCGAGTCAGCTAGTTACGAATAAAAATCACGGCCAAAATTTTTGTTTTGATGAAATGAATGAAATAAAAATAAAATGAATTTAAAATTACAGCATTTTTTATTATTATTTTCGGCGTGACAAGGCGTTTTTGAAGAAAAATGTTTTTATTTTATAAATTCTTAATGCTTGTTTTTATGCCGCAGAAAATATCATTACATGAATTGGTTTTATATCAAAAATTTCCTTAATAACTTTAATTTCATTGTAAAATTCCAATATAAAAATTATACCAACAGGTAATATGAGAATAAGCAATCTGTAAGGTAGAATCATAAAAAAGGTAGCAGATGGCCTAATGGAAGTTTTCGGATGGAAGTATCGATTACTATTTGATTTAATTTTAGCCACACAATGCCCAATGATAAAATTTTCAACATTATAAATTAATTTGTTATTTTTTATGCTAGTCTCCTCACTCAAGATGAAACTTTAAATTGGAATTTTTTGTACATAAAATTTCGGCGGTGCGGGATTCGAAGCTGTCTCATAGACATGCGTTACCAACTGAAAAGTTACGGACGAATATAATAGGATAATTCGCGAGATTTTTTGTTTCTTCATAATACAAGGTATAAAAAGAGCAGGTACATCGAGCCGAATGTTGCGACGCCAATTCACCACCTGTAGAAATTCGACTGACTATTCACCAAATACTCCAGGCGAACAGCAAAAGTACGTACACACTCTCTCTCTACACAAAGCTCTGGCCTATTATTGCAAAGGAAGAAACTGCTGTATGTTTCTTTTTTCTTTTCTCTTCGTTTTAAAAAAAATTGTCCTTACTTTAGAATAATATAATCATGTATTGTTTTCTTGATTTTACGCGAATATTATACGTTTTAAATGAAACTACTTTACGGATTTTATCGCGTTTTTTATTTTGATTTAAATTCCCGATGTTTCGAACCCTTTCCGGCGTTCATTTCAGAGTCTGTCCCGTGACCAAAATCAAAATAAAAAACGCGATAAAATCCGTTAAATACTTTCATTTAATATAATCATGTATTGTAAGGACTTTTTACTAACATAAATTTCACGTGGACGAACACTCAGATGCGAAACAACTATCTTTGGGTCACACAAATCGTTGTCCCGTGTGGGAATCGAACCCACGACCCCTGACGCCGAAGTCAATATCCCGGTAACTGCGCCACGGAGTCATCAGATCATCATCGTTCAATATTACCAGGCGAACAGCCAAAGCGAATTCATGTCTGTGGTAGCTTAGTGCTTCTCCGAAAGATCTGGCCTATTAATGGGAGAAGTAGAAGTAGGTTTTTGATATAACGTCGAGTTTTTCACGCGGGGAGGTTATCGGCCCCTTAGTTTAGTGGCTATAAAGTTTGGGCGAGTAGCCCGGAAGGCGCAGGTGGAAAAATACGACAATTCATTTACACATTTCAAGTTTCATCTTTAGTGCAATGAGAGAAAGTAAATGAAATATTAGTCATTTATTATTAAGTCGTTAGGATTTAACATCACCAACGAAAGATATAGCTGTTGTCTCCCCATGTCGCTGTATATCAGTTCATAATTATTATTGTAATTGGTATAATGTTATTATAATTAACAATCATATATTTATCTCTTTTACTACTTACGTTTGGTTTATTTGACAAGAACTTAAGTATGTATATTACCAGAGAACATTGTTACTTCTTGTTTGTGCACTTACATCACATTAAGGAAAATAAAGACAATAAAGTTCTCGGTATCCTAGAAACAGTTTTCTATAGTAAAAACTTTAGCACCGGACCAAGTTTGTAAGTTAAATAGTGCAAAGTTGTACAATTTCGCCGCAAGCAAAGTTACCTATCGTGTTTTTCATTTGATAAAAAAGTTCCATCATTAACTCCGTTCCTATTACCCTATTTATGTAACCAGAAACAAATTTAGGTGCTGTAAAAATATTAAAAATAATGTGTTTTTAATTAATTGTTGCCGTAAAGTTCTTGAAATCTTAATTAAGAGGCACGTTAGTTACACAGTTTTCATGTATTTAGTCATGAGTTTATTTAGCAGTTAAAATTGTTATTAAGGTTTGATGATGTTCGACATGTCATCATTATCATCATTTCATCCCATTTTAGTCCACTAGTATACATAGGCATCCTCAACATGAAAAATATAGAATATAAAACAAAATCTGAATAATCCGTGACAACTAAAAGCGAGCTTAAATCAAATCATTTATTCATCGAAATAAGAAATAGTTATTTCATCTATCCATAGTCATTTTTTAAATCTACCATCGTTTCGTAATGAGGTTCCTCTAACGGAGAAGAAATAGGTGAAAGAAACTCCGTAGGTTTTTTTTTAGAAACAGCTTAGGAGCGATCATCTCATTCCCAGGGGTTGTTATCGTTAATGATGAACTGTATACAATACATCAGTATAATATTTTATATTCAATTCACATAAATTATAAACTTTTTGTACAGGGGAGCCTGCAATTAGGTCTCGCTACGCCCGTCTCACCGTTCTCGTACCACCTGAACCGCCTAAAATACTGCAGGGGAGTTTCTTCTCTACGGCCGAGGACAGAACGATCAAACTGGAGTGCGTGTCGATCGGTGGAAAGCCTGCAGCCGAGGTAAGGATGGAATTTCCCGAATTGCTCTCCGATACGTGCCGATGTCTTTTGTCTCTGATGTGCATTAGATAACCTTTTGATGGGAAAAAGATTGGGCATTTGGATTGGACAACGCTTACGGAATCAATGAAGAATGAACATGCAATTTTTCATGTCCCAAAGAAAATTTTCTGATGGTTACTTGATATATTTTGCGTTATTAATTTTAGAGGTCCTTAATGTTTTGTGATAAAATTTGCTGTAAGATTACAATAAGGCTAAGGAACATTTTAACTTAGCACTATTGATTCAAATTTATAAAGACATTTAGAGTCAAGAATACCTTTTATATTTGCGTTAGTATTGTATGTTTTATCTGTATACATTATGTTTTAACCTTAAATTACCTTGATTAGTACTATATTTAACAAGCACTTTAATTACATATAAATTTCAAGTTACACTGTCTCTTAATGGTAGTCCATAAATAAGGGGAAACAAAGAAAGCGCAGTCACTAATGTCTCAGTGGGAAAACTGATCAAGATTTCCCTATAATGTGCATCAAGAATTAAAAATTTCACATTACCTTAATGATGATAGTCTCGGTGTAAATGAATAATCTTTATCTATTAATATTTACCTATAATAGAATGGTATCTTATCACAATCGTTTCTTTAGTAACAAAGGTAAAGATAGTAACAGTACGTCCCTTTCCAAACTCCAAACCATTGTACGAGGGTAAAAAACTGACTGCGACTTGGAATTAAACACTTGGGAACTCTTGGTGCCTAAATTTGCAAGAACCACTTAATTAGAATTGCTCAGAACTTCTTCCTCTCCCGTCTCAAGTTCCACCGAGATTTATTAATTGCCACCCCATTTGTTTTCTCATTGTTACGATTGTTTATTACACGGTCGCTTTGTTCGCTGTTAATTTCTTGTAATTCTTATTAAAGCGTCATCTATTCGATGCTACGAGTAGTCGCTCAGGTGGTCGAAATATGCCGATAATTTCAATTATATTGCTTTTATCTAAGTAAAGTAAAGTAGCAGGCCTATATTTATGTCCCACTGGTGGCCAAAGGCTCCTCTGTATTAAGTCCTTTATCTAATAATATCAAATAGGATACTAAGTAAGGCGGCATTAGCCTGGTGGTTAGGACATGTATTCGTTCTTACAACTTAATTAAAAATCACCATGATTTATAACAACCAAAGAACCATGATCATCTGTGAATATATCCATATAAACGTTATAGTGATTTGAAGTGAGTTAAAGTCGCAGAAAAATCAGAAGTGACATCTAACACCTGGTTTTCGATAAAGACCATATGCTAACTTAAATACGGTGAAACTGATCATTCCACTAAATTCATTCCATGGCTCCCTAGTTTTGCAATAATACAAAATCATGATTAAAATCCTTATAGTTAGGCCTTCATAATTCAGATTCATCAGTGGTATTTATTAAAATTATTTGCAAGAATTTAAATATCGCCAGCATCATTTCAGCCTGGCAGACTCCACTGCTGAACATAAGCGTCCCCACGGACTACCACGAATCACGATCCTGAGCCACCTATATTTTAAGTGGGGAAAAAACTTTTATGGATCCCCTGCCACCGGATCGGGGGAGGGGCCGGGGTATGTGGGAGTCCCAGTCAGAAAAGGATATCACCTGAAACCAACGATGCACTTGTCTCTGTCGCGTGGGCTGGGGACACGTGAATACGAAGACGCAATCTTCCGCTACAAAATTGTTTTGGGCTCGTCCTCCGAAGACTGGGACCAAAACCAGTCGAACCCCCAAACCAAGGAGCCAGTATCCTTAGCCGCCTGCATCCGTTTATTCCCAACAAGTTAAATATACAATGAGTTAAATCCGATAGTCGTAATAGCGATAACAGCCACATCCCCGTGGGGACCGCTCATAATTAGGATTTAAATTGAATATCGCGTCGCGGAGTGACTGTTTGATCCCGAGGAGACCGGCGCTTTTAGAGCCTCGCTGAAATATTAATGCGAATGCATAGGTTAGTGCTAGTGGGACACTGTTTCCTAAAATTTATATTAACAACATTCTGCCTTTATATATAAGATCAAAAGTACGTCTAATTGTTCTCGCCTAACTGGCGAGTTATTTAGTAAGTATACAAAAGATATTGATTTCTGGTTTTTACGCGAATGTTAAAATTATTCAGGGATAGTAAAATTGTAGTTATTATTGTAAAATTGTATTGTTGCTATAAGAAAAAAACAAGTTATCCATTTGATAAAGAAACAAACTAAGTATTTCAATTTGGTTAATGGATCGGCAAAATTTACGAATTATATTAATCTATAATAAAATGTCGCTGGCCTTCATTTGAGAAATTACGAAAGAGATAATCTTGCAAACAGATGGCCGGTAAAATGGTTCAGTCTTCTTTTAAAAACTTTTCCGACGTGTTTCTTTATCTTTATGTACGTGTTGCTTTTAAGGGGCAGTACAAGTTTTGCTTTTTGCTTCAGATCACGTGGGTGGACAGTAATGCCGGCGTGATAACGCAAGGAGTTACGAACACCGTGGAGCCTTTGTCGGATGGACAGAGATTTACTGCGAGGTACGGCTGATGAAATCCGTGTAATGGTATTCGATGCTCGGGAAAATTAAATACAATTTGTTTGTGATTTAAATATTTAAAGTTTTTGTTAAAAATTAAAAACTGTCACGAGAATTTTCATCGCTCGCATCATTCGCGGCATTCCCTTCATTTGCGGCTGCGAATGCCGAATACGTGTGTTCGATTCCCACAGTGGTGACAATCTTTTCGTATTTTTTTACAAGTTTTAATTTCCATCGCTGCCAAAAATTTCTGCTGTAAAACCGACCACTACTTTGCTCCACCTTTTATTAATGTTTACGTTGCTTTGAATCATACATTTTTTTTTCAAATTTCGTTACAACAATACCTTTTGATGACTGTCGCCAAAGTGGTTTCGAATTCCACACGGATTTGTGCGACCCACATGTAGTTGTTTCGCATCTGGGTGTTTGTCCACGTGAAATTTTTATTTGTAAAATGTCCTTTCTACACAGGATAATGTTATCAGAAAGTAAAGGCAATGTTTTCAAAGCGAAAAAAATAAAAAAAATAGTGAAACTGAATATTTTTTTTTTTATTTAACTAAATATCAAGTAATTATAAGTCACAGCAATTATATTTTCATCTCGTTTAGCTCTGTGGCCAGCTTAACCCTAATTATAATGCTTAGAACTCGCGCTCGTGTTTCTAACAGATAGACTTTTTTCGCAGGTCCGTTTTGAGAATGACGCCGAAACAAGAGCATCATAATCAAACCTTCACATGTCAAGCGCAGAACACGGCGGACAGGGCGTATAAGGCAGCCAGCATACAAATAGAGGTGGGTTCATGAAAAGGATATATTTAAGCAAAAAAAAATCGGAAGTCGTGCAGTCCCCAAAAATATTATAAGCCGGCCAAGTGCGAATCGGATTCACACATGAAGGGTTCCGTATAACCTATATTATTTTCATATAACGGATAAAATGTCCCATATAACATGGGGACCTTTATATTTTTTTCAGTTTTTTAGTATTTGATGTTATAGCGGCAATTGGATTACATCACCTGTGAAAATTTCAATTGTCTAACTATCACGGTTCATGAGATACAGCCTGCTGACAGACGAACAGACGGGCAGTCTTAGTAATAGGGTTTTACCCTTTGGGTACGGAAACCTAAAACTGTAAGAGACCACTGATTTTGATTTAGTGTAAACTTTGATATCAAAACTTTTATATACCTTTAGACCTCGATTTGATGTTCATCGGGTTGAGATCTAAGATGACGATAACACAATGTTCTGAAGTACATAAAATATTGTACGGATAATATCCGAATTTCCCAATACTCATATTTTACTGAACTTCCCATCCAACCAACAGAATAATGAAAACTTCAATTTTAAACCACATAATTATATCAAAAAGAAATAACTATTGAGTATTATAGGAATTTTTAGAAAAAAAATCCCGCCAAATAACACTACAAGAGTGTAACTGAGTAGTTAGTGCATCAGCAAACACCATAGTTCGTCCTCGCCTTCGAGCACGGCGAAATCAACACAACGCGTTATCTAGGTACACCGGCGTTCCAGGGCGGTTCTCACCGCCCCCAGCCAACGACTAACCAAGCACAGTCAACAGACATCGGGGTCACGGTCCGCACCGAACCTCGATGGCCCGTAGGCGACATGCCATAATTAACGCACGCATGAGTACATGCGGGGCCCTAAACACTGAGGAGGGCTTCAAACCCGTGGTTTCTGGCTAGCCCGCCGGTTCTGCGTTAGATGAAGCTTTAATAGTTTAAGGACTGAAAGCGTAACATCAGTTATACATAAAAAAACATAGATGCACCTATTATTGTTTGAAATGCGAAATAATTTGTAAATTAAAGTCGATGAGATTTTCGTTGGTATGGAAATCACACGTTTAGCTTAGTGATTAAAGCTTCTGAACGTCGATCTGTAACACATGAGTTTTTCTTTTAATGTGAGAAGGAAGCAAACGATTTGGCGGTACCTGTTGTTATACAACAACCACCGCCCATTGCTATTTGCAAGAGCCATAAGATTGCAGATGCGCTGCCACCATTTAATAAAGTACCCCGGCTGCCTCACTCACCAGACGATACTCAGAAGTGTAACACCTCTTCATGCCGGTTTTCGATTCCCGCAGAGATTAGTGCTATAAAAAATTATATTTATTCAGTAACATTCCAGAAAATATAAACTTAATGTATTTTAGGACATTCAATCGAATTATAGCAATTGCATTAATAGGCCGGATCTACTGGGTTAATATCTCGGCTATGAAGGAGACTTAAGGGATGGGCCCTTAAAGTTGAAAAATTAATTTAGATTCTACGAATATTTCAATTGTCTACGGACGCTGGACTTGATTTTCATTTACTTCATTAAGTAAATCCAAAGTCATAATATAATACTATATAATTGAAAAGGGGAACAGATAAAAGTAATTAGCAGCAATTTTAAAAGGATACAGAAATCACAACCAAAATTTCGCCGTTTTATTTCAAGATCCAATGTCTGTATCTACATATATTTTCTTCTTAAGCTCAAACTGCCTACTCCCAATGTCCCAAATTCATGTCTCAACATTTTTTTGTATATGTTACTTCGTGTTTAACGCAAAACGTCTTAATGATGGGGAATTCCTCATTACGACAAGATTCAGCCATCCCCAGGGGATGCTGGGATTGGACCCTAGTCCAAGTCTTTGTATAAAGAATAAGTTTACCTTCGTTCGTCCTGGTCTTCAGTAATTGTTTAGAAAATAATTGTTCACTATCCATTATTAGTGTAACAATAAATTTCAAATTTGAAACACCATACGAATCGCGAATACCGGATACAGCGTTGGCTTTGCAACCGCTAGGGGCCGAACTCATTACTGTCATATCCCACGCCAGCACGCTGCGGCCTTACGACATCGTTAGCGGATGGTGTATCAGTGCAAATTGTTCTATTTTACGTCTCGTTGCTTGGCAAAGGTCTTTGTTAGCCGCGCCCGCTCGAATCGTTAAGCCCCGTCATACTCCGCCTCACAATCCCACCTTTCTGATTTCTGATTAAATTCGCTGCCGTCTTCATGCGACCCCAATTTGCGTTAACAACACCGTTTTCTGTTTCACTATTTCGTCTCGGTAGACGGTGACACGGTTGTCAGGTTATTTTAATCTTTACAATACATTTCATAGGTAAAATTTATTAACTTTTATATGTTCATAACATGTTACTGTCAGGTATTATTAACAAATGTAATGCAATTCATTTATTGAAAGCTAATTACGCCTTCAATGAAGAGATAGAGGTTTACCTAATTTCTGCAAAAAAAATTACCATGAATTAAAAGAAAACATTTCAGCCTGTTTGAATCCAATGTTGAACATAGGCCCCCTCCACAAACTGCCACGACGCACGATTCTGAGCCAAGCGATATTTAAATAACAAGAAATAAAAATCCATTCAATACAACTATATCGTGTATATTCGTACTGACAGACGAATTCTTTCGAATTATATCGGTGGTAGGGCCACACAGCATCCTCGGCTGTTGCACGAATGGGCAGGCTCGTCCGGGTAAGTACCACGACCTCGCAGAAAACCGGAGTAAAGTGGAAGTATAATACTTTCGCGTTTCGTCTAGTCAGTGAGGTGGCCGGAGCCCAATTTTCAAAAGGTTGCCAAAGCATCTGGAACCCTATGGTATAGCAGATGTCCATGGGCGGCGGTATTGACTTAACATCAGGTGAACCGTCTGCTCGCTTGACAACTTTCACATAAAAAAGATAGAACACGAATTGTGAGAATGAAACCCGGAAATACAGATTATATGCTTTTTCCTCATGCAGAGTCATTACTGTGTACACGCGAAGGGAGGAGAGCTAATAAAATTAATGTAAAGTAAGAATCCAATTAACTGTCTTTCGAGTAGGCGTTGTTCCTCATTCTTGGATGTTAATTGTGAAAGTACTCAACTCTGGCTTCACCGCACTGCTAACATACTGGCATTGTTTCGTCTATTTGCTCATTCCAGTCGCGCCTCCCCCCTCAGTGGAGGGCCGCGTCCAAAGGTGTTGGTATTTCGGAACTTACAAATTCAGCGCGTAGACAGAGAAAAAAGGGCGCGAGTTCGCCGCGAATGTTTCTGTTACATTATTTATGTATTCCCGGGGAAGTCGTAGGTTTTACCGGGTACAAGGAAGTTGGGAAGTTCTTCTCGAGTCGGTCGTGATGAATAACAATTGCCTGCGCGCTGTCGGTCGGTTGATTACTCGCAGCAGATGCCCGTTAAACGTGGCGAATGACGATGCGGCAACCAACTTAGAAACGTCTGCTGATGGATACGAAATGTACATATGGGATGTTTCATAAATGTACCTGCGTGCAACGTACAGACGATTTTCTGATAGAATATGGGACATCAAAAATTGGTTCACCAATTTGCTATGGTAAAAGTTGGCTGGCGAGCAGGCGGGTAATGATAATCTCAGGTAATCTAATACAAACTAAACCATGAAAAGTACCATATTTTCAATAGGTATTTTCTCCTTCTAACAGGTTACCTGGGCCTATGTTCTCTGCATTCCTTGTAGGTATTTCACCGCGAAGCTGTAAATCCTTCCATTGATACACATTCATTATTATAATAGTTGACTATGATATATATATTTTACGTGTGTTAATTTTTTTTAATATAAACTAATTAAACAAACTTCATGCCCAGAAACGTGAAATAAAGTCGCGTTTTATTACTGCTTACGTGTAAAAATGTAATCTCCATCTCCGTGACAGGCCGAGTGAAAAAGGGAGCACTAGTAGTTTGTCTCTGTCTACGCCCTCGGAGATTTAAAGACCTCACGGCTTGTATGTGATTTGCCTCGGCGGTACGTTGAAAGTGACGCCCGCAAATCGAAACAAATGTCATATTGGAAACATATATTCCGATCGGAGCTCCGTTTTGAACGTATAAAACATTACGACAACCATCTCCAAGGAGGTTGTGCATAAAACAAATATTCCCAGATCAATGTATACCGTACATAACATTGTAAAATTATTGTTCTTTGAAGAGTCCGTTAAAAGGGAATTACTATTCCGGTCACGGCGATGCCTTACAGAAGGGCTTCTTTATTTATTTATTTTTTTCGGTCGCCTCCTTTTTATTTCTGTTTGATGGGGACTCACGTATATTCGGAACGTATCTACAATGTAACTGGCAATTTTTCTCTTTGGTTTGAAGTGGAGCTGCTTCCGCCGTCGGCCACTTTTCGTTTTATTGCGACACATCTTTGCTTTTGGTTGACATCAAACGAGAATTAACGACGTCGACTCTCTCTTCTATATTATTAAAATTAACGATTTTTGTTTATTCGTCCTCGCCTGTTCTTGTCTCAACTATTTGTTAGCAGCGATAACAAAAAATGGAAATTTTAAATTAAAAATTTACTTTAAGTAAGTGTGCCGGTGTGTTTGTATGTTTTTTTTTTGATTAACTATAGCAAAATTAATTAGATTCCAATTATCGTATCATTTTTATTATTTAACAATAGAAATAATAAACTTAGGTAGCAATTAGGGTGCAATAAGTATGTAAAGAAACTAATGAGTACACAATTAATAAATTGTGTTCAATCAACAATCTTTGATTGACATATGTCAGGGATTTTATTCTCTGTTGTGTCCCTGCGGGCCCAATTACGTCTTGGGTCTTTTTCGAATCATTACCTTGTTTTTGATATCTTTTTTTATTTGGCAACAATACATAATATTTTAGATATAACTCAGTTGGCTAGAGCGTCTGGATACGTTACCCAGAAGACGTAGGTTGAATCTCGATAGCGCACAAAATTTTTTTCGACAACTTTTCTTGTTCAAATTCCATATTTATTACAAACTAGCACTTTTTTATTTTAGAAGGCGGTAAGTGAGCTGGCGGTTCACCTCAGTGATAACCGCCGCCCATGAACATTTGCAAAATCCGTACAGTTGCATGTAAGGTGCCACCTTTCCATAAAGTGGGCCCCGGCTACATCACTCACCAGATGTAATGCAGAAGTATACCCACACACTTCCACTTCACGCCGGTTTTCTGTGATATGAAATACTTACCCGGATAGACCTGCCCTTTCGTGCAACAGCTATGACTGTTGCGTGGCCCTACCACAGTTCATTACAAACAAAAAAACTATAAATAAAAAAAAGGTTATTACACAATTTCCTTACATCGAAATTTCAACGTTCAAACGGTTTATTCCTCTTTCTCTATTTCGACTTTCTACTCTACCGCTTTAACCATTCAGCTGAATGATAGAGCTAGGCTTAAGGCATTAAGTTCACGAGCGCGTAAGCCTTGTATCTATAAAAGTAAGAATAAATACAATGCAAAATCACCATGCCACTGTGTGGGATGACGGCATTTGTTTTAGGTAAAAATTTCAAGGGTTTTATAAACGCAAGAAGATAAAAAGTGAAATCGAGCCATGATTTTTCTGGAAGCCATTAATTATCCATTGTAACGGTAGTTATGACGTCAGAAGGGCCCCAGTTTGTTTATCATGCCTTTCTCCGTTGGCCATAAAATAAGAACCCTTTTTACGGGCAACCCAATTACTTTTTATGATCAGATGGCCGACGATATTGCTTTGATATTGAGATTGTTGCCATTCGTACTCGGGTAACTGGCATGTGACCATTTTTTCAGCCTAATGTTACGATGCCGCCGCGTAAATTTTCATCGCGAATGTTTTTTTTTTTTCATTGAATTGAAAATTAACGGTTCGTCTGTTGGCTCTATGCTTTTGTGTCATGAAAATGAAAAATTTGTTATTTGTTTGTATGTAATAGACCCTATATACGAGTATGTTTGAAACTGCTGAAACCGTTCTTAAAATGTTTTACTCCGAGTGACTAACTACCAATTTTATTTAGATAACAGTATAAGTCAGATAGCTAAATAAAACTGATTTAAGGATTTTATCCCGTTGCAAAAATTATTATTTACTTTAATTGTTTTAAATACAATATTTTATTAAAAGTTTTCGCGGTGGTAGAGCCACGCAGCAGCCTCGGCTGCTGCACGAATGGGCAGGCTCGTTAGGGTAAGTACCACGACCTCACATAAGACCGGCGTAAAGTGGAAGTATAATACTTTCGCGTTTCGTCTGGTGAGTAAGGTGGCCGGTGCCGAATTTTCAAAAGGATGTTAACGCATCTGAAACCCTCTTGTGGAGCAGATGTCCATGGGCGGCGGTATTCACTTAACATCAGGTGAACCGTCTGCTTGCTTGGCAACTTTTCACATAAAAAAAAAGATAATTTTAGGCGATGGAACAAAAAATATCATTTTGATACATTGTAATACAGAACTTAATGCGCTATTTAGGCATTTAATACAAGCGGCTTAGGTAGCTCACAACCGGCAACGCTTTTAATGATACACTTCTATCGATTGTTTTTTACTTGTAGAGTCCAAAGAAGTCTGCTAAAACTGCAATCTCTTGAATTCTGTCTAAACACCCATATATGCGCTAAGACTAAAAACAAAAACATTATCAAAGAAACAAGAAAAGCTTGTCTGTTAAAGCAAATGAATGATACCTTAAAATATGTGATGCGTAAATATCTATTGACTTTAACAGTAATAGAGTGAGATTGTTCCACATGTTCATCTATCTTCTTAATCAAAATAAAAAATCAAAAATATATTTATTCACATATACGGCAACTTTAACTTAACCGGCAAGAAACTCAACAGCTGCTCTTTTTTAAAACGATTAGTTTACAATATAATAGAGCAAGTATGTCTTATTTTAGCCTACGTGAGTATCAACAGTATTAACCCCACACATTGGCGTCGTCAAGATATTCCGCAAAGGTATAATATGCCTTAGCCATAAGTTCACTTTTAATTTTGCGTTTAAATTGATCTAGTTAATATGATGTTCAGATGCGTTTATTAATTTTTGGTTCCGACTGTAGGTACTGCTGGAAAGTGTTTTTTTCCACTTGAATGCAATCCTCACATACTCGATTGCGATTCTATTCCATCATGGAAATAATCCTTATTTCCTTACTAATATTATAAACGTGAAAGTCGTATGTATGGATGGATGTTTGTTACTCTTTCACGCAAAAAGCTACTGAATAGATTTAAATGAAACTTTATAATAATATATCTTAAACTCCAGAATAACACATAGGCTATAATTTATAAAGATAATGAGTGAATTATCCAAAAAAATTGGTAATGATAAGTGTCAACTAAGTAGGAAAAATTCAGCCATCTGTGAGATATTCTGGTGTTTAATAAGAAACTCATCATCGTCTTTAGTCGTGTAACTTAAACTCGTTTGGCCGAGTGGGTGAAGCCGCGTTTAACAACTACTTTAAAAGATTTACTATTGATTACCATTGATTAGTGGTGAATTTATTCTTATGTGGTAAACAAACCTGAATAAAGGCGTGTTTACTCGTAACCCGTTTTCTGAGTCTACTAAATCGAAATCCGGGACAATGATGAGATTATGCGAATAGCGCTGTGTACTGTGCAACGATGATTCATGATAATCGTATCAGAAAATACTTGATAATCCAATAAACTACTGTTCTGTCACGCAACATTCTGTGAGCTCAATGATCTGACTGCGTTGTATTGATTTAAACAACCATGGCAATAGTAACATAGCGGAAGGAAAAACTTATTGGATGATTTTATTCGTTTATTCAGCACTTCTAATAAGTCACTTAAAAATTAAACACTTAGTTAAAATATTATATGTTCCATGCTTAAATTTGTCGATAGAAAATAACTATTACATACTTCCGGCCATATCCAGCCAGTATCATCTTAAGATATAATAAACAACTTAATAACCCCGGTTACCTCACTCACCAGAAGTGAAACACTTCCTCTTCACGTTGGTGTTCTGTGAGGTCTGTTACTGCCCCCCCCCCCCCCCCCCCCCCCTCCCCCCACGGACCCACCCATTCGCGCAACAGTGAAGAATCTTGCCACAAATAAATTACCACACAGGTCCTGATAGTAAAAAAATTAAGCATGTGAAATTCTTTGGGCAATACAGTATCATATATGCCATTTTGTCTCCTTCTGCCACTGACTGTATAAAGTATATTAGGATTTAGCGATCATTGTGGTAGAGCCGCACTGCAGTCTTAAATGTTGCACGCATGGCAGGTCCGCCCGGGGAAATAGCAAGACCTCTCAAAAAAAAAATTGAAATGAAAATGTCAATGAGCGGCGGTTATCACTTAACATTAGTTGAATCGCCAGCTCTCTTGCCGTCTTATTACATAAAAAAAACTGGCCAAGTGCGAGTCGGACTCGCGCACGAAGGGTTCCGTACTATTCCATCTATATAACCGGCAAAAAAATCATGTCTATTGCATGGGAGCCCCACTTAAATATTTTTATTCCGGTTTTAGTATTTGTTGTTATAGCGGCAGTAGAAATACATCATCTGTGAAAATTTGAACTGTCTAAATATCACGATTCATGAGATACGGACTGGTGACAGAGAGACGGACAGACAGCGAAGTCTTAGTAATAGGGTCCCGTTTTACCCTTGTGCTACGTAAACGTAAAATCCGGCTAACGTAGCATAATTTTTAATTCGTGACGGTATCCGGATACCTCGTTTTATTCCCATCCGCATTCAAGAACAACAAAGCAACGAATCTAATAGATTAGTCCGCAGTGCGAGCTATTAAAAATTCAGTTCAAAAACTGTCTCTCATTTATTATTCGGCGAGTTTATGGCTTAGCTGGTACCGCTGCTGTCCCTTTATTTATGCGTTATTTTTTCGTTGTAAGAGTCTGCTGCAATGAATTTTGTTTATTGCCCGCCGGGTGTAGCGGCCATTACAGGAGGTCCATAAACCCGTTCATTGTCATCTTTTGTTGGAATAATTGCGTCCGTAACACACACGCGATTGTGATTAATTCGGATCGAACCTTTTAATGTTTTCATTAGTTGTTCTCTGCGGTACTTACGACGGTTTAAACTTACGGTTTAAATTTATCAGGCGACTCGTGTCTTGACGGTGAAGAAGTGGCAAACGAGCTTGCGGTTCGCCTGATTGTAAGTGATAACCGCCGCCAATGGACATTTGCAACACCCGTAGGGTTGCAGAGTGTTGCCACCTTTAAATAAAGTTGGCCCCGGCCACCTAACTCACCGGACATAACGCAGAAGTACATTTCTACTTTACGCCGGTCTTCTGTGAGGCCGTGGAATTACCCGGACGGACCTGCCCATTCGTGCAACAGTGAATAAGAACTTTATTGCAATCAATTATTTGTATGTTTGTCACATTGCTGTACACACAATGGGTGGCTGTGACGAATAATTTACGAAATCAATTTCATTTTGCCAACAGGTTAAGTACGGGCCCAAAATAAAATTGCTCAAGAAAGCCGGCTACAAAGGGAAGATCCCCGAAGGAGGCGACCTTATTGTGGGTAAGTGTTACGTCCTTATGGCCCATGTAATAAGCCCCCTATTCGTTTGGCTGGGCATAAGGTATACTTTTTGTGTTACAAGATCTCATTCTCGTAAGCTTCGCCTAACGTTATTCGGCAGCCATCAGGTCATATTTATACGTTGACAAAACCACAAGCCAACCTTGAATTATTTGGACAAAGTGACATGCTACGTCATGAAGTGTTTTCAACATAATAAACAATGGCATAGGATGATAGCTTTTAACTTTCAGACTTCAAATATTGTATCACTATTCGAAGCAACACAGCATTATATACATTAATTATTATCTTATAGAAATTCTAGGGACACGACAAGTAACAACAAAAGTTTAATTCAAAGTAAAGGCTAAATTGTCTCAACCGTTACAGATTGCAGAGCTGATGCGAACCCTAATAATCTTACATTCAGGTGGTATCTCGACGGGGACCTAGTCGGGAATAGTTCGGAGTTGGTAAGTGTTTACGAATTTATTTATAATAATTGCGCTAGTGTTGCAAATAATAAAGTTTGCACTGGTGTTTTTTGTTCTGTTGTATCACAAAAATGGCTTAAACGATTGGATATATATTTTTTACTTTGATGTTTCATCATCATCATCATTTCAGCCTGTTCGAGTCCACTGCTGAACATAGGCCTCCCCCATAGACTGCCATGAAGTACGATCCTGAGCCACCTGCATCCATCGACTTCCCGCACATTTGATGCTTATACATTTTTTATTAATACACAAGATATTATTTATTTCTTTATGTTAAGCATGACTATTCAACGAGAAAATGCAGCTTGCGTTCTTGGCGCCATGCCGCGTGTACTAGGTATATTAGATAAAATGTAATTTTCGATATATTAAATGTTGGATTATTAAATTGTATAATTAACCTTAAAAATATTTCATAAAGTATCAGATCAATTATTCCATTTACAAAAGAACAACGCAAACGATGTTTTTATTTTCATTAGTTTATTATTATCATTCGGACTAGTCTGTACGGACCCGTAGTATTGTCCGCTTGTTTACCCACAATAAGGTTTGTTTTTTTTTGTCATGTTTTTTTAAATCTTTGACCGTTACCGAAAATGCAAAGTAAACTAGAGTATGGACAACCAGGATAGTTGTGAACGGGGCGATTGGTAATAACCATAATTCTGTTGAATACGACGAGGAAAATATTTCAGTAGAGTAGACGAGAATTTTCTTCCGAGGTACTGTTTTATTTTTGTATAAAAGTAATGGCCTACATAAGAGCAACACCTCTATACAGAGCCTATAGGGGCTATCGAGGCTTTCTTTCTATTTCTATCTAATTATTTCTACCAGCAAAAATAATTTTGAAAACGTATTCATTTCAGCGACATATTATAATGTTTAGTGTAACAACTGTGGTTTAATTTTAAAGGGCAAGGTTTTTATCATAATTATATATGTATAATGGACAGTGATGGCCATCACTTAACATTAAGTGAATCTCGTGCTCGGTTAATACCTCCCAAAAAATCTATGTGGCTGCATTCAAATATAGATCTGTAAGTCAAACAAATGTTACTCAGCAACTGTCTATAGGTTGTTTATAGCTGCAGATCCAGCGTCCAATTCCATCGAGTTAAGTTAACCAGCCCGCCGTAGTAAGACGTTAGTTCGGGCAAATCCCATCTCGCTAAGCTCTGCACTTGAAAGTGCTGTCAACTTGTCCGGGTTTGACTCCTTGAGACGCGAGACACACGTCGTATGCACTGAGTGGGGAAGCAAATTGGACTATCCTGTTTACTTAGGGGGAAATGCAAGATAATTAAGTTTTTAATGTGTTTAAAATATTATTTTGAATCTGTCGTCTTCAAGTAGTAGATTATCTATGAGTAATCATAATGAAGTGGAATATTATAAAGTAAAATTATAGTATTATTGTATATGTATATAACGTACATACAACACAAGTAAACTATGATTTACCGTCTTAAATATTATTATTGAATCCCAAAAGGTGAATGGTGGATGGTAAATAAATTGATATTAGAAAACATGAAATTTGGGGAAAGTAGAAAGAACACTGGAGCACTTAATTATCTTAAACTCAATCGTTATCTTTTTTCTACACTACCTAATTCAAATAGGCCACAAAATATAAACGTTATGACAATTATATGAATATAAATAAAATAAATATTTTAGGACACATTTTTACACAACGTTCTATAGTCCCAAACTGAGCAACAACTGTACTATGGGTACTAGATAACTGATACACGTACTGAAACATGCTTTTCTTCTGCAAATAAATACATATTATACATACACAAACACCCAAACACTAGAAAAACACTATGTTCATCACACAATATTTTTCCAGTAAATTTTTCAAGGGGATCGAACCCACACCTTCTGGCGCAGGAGGCGGGTACACACACTACGCTATTCGGGTCATCATCATATTCTTAGAAGTACGAAAATAGCTCGTACCTATTCATTTTGTTGTAGATCGTGATGAATGTAACGAGGAGGTACAATGGCGCAGTTTTGAAATGCTTAGTGTACAATGAAGTGGGGAAAAGCGAGGAGTCTGAGACGTTGGAGATCACGTGTAAGTTTTTTTTTAATATGAAATCTCTTAATGGTTGAGAGGTTGAGGTTTGTTTGTTCACAGGTATTTCCTACGAGGGAAATTGTTTTTTTGTTGCATACTTTAAGGTTGCACAGAAATGTTCCTCTAAAATTCATCATACGTTACAGTAATTATATTTTAAAATCGGCAAACGCGACTCGGAATCGCACCCGAAGGTTTCGGTATCATTATATTCGGTATCGTTGTATTGGAGCCCCACTTAAATAATTGTTACTCTATTTTTTATTATTTGTTGTTATAGCGGCAACAGAAATACATCATCAGTGAAAATTGTCTAACTATCACGCTTCATGAGATACAGCTTAGTGACAGACGGATAGACAGACAGACCTTAGTAATAAGGCCCCGTTTCACCCTTAGGGCATGGAATCCACAAAATGACCGTTTGCCTAGGATTGTTCGTTACAAGCTGTTTTATTTGCTTGGTGAGGTCTAACAACCAATAAAATTCATACAAAGTCAACTTAATTTTTTTTTATAATAAAGCTATCCGAGTATCAAATTGCATTGTAAACGATCTTACTAGTTTATATATATATATTTCTAGAGATGTGTCTTAAGTGGACCGTTTCTTTCAATTTGGTTATTTTTAGACGCCCCGGCGTTTCGAAATTTCCCGAAAGACGTGGAGGCTGAAATCGGGAAAGTGGCTACGCTTAGCTGTGACGTCGATGGCCACCCTAAACCGGAAATAGAATGGCTGCACCGTGAGGAGGATCAAAATATAGTACGTAACATTTCAAAGGGTCATTGTACTTGAAACTATTTAACATTTAAAGATATTAATGAACGTAGCGATATTATATAATATCTGCTGCCCGCGACTACGTCTGCGTGGAACAGGCTGAAGGCGTAACATTCATACAGAAAGACAGACATACATAATATATATATATAAGTTTCATTAAAATCCTTTCATTAGTATTTGCGTGAAAGAGTATCAAACATCCATCCATACATACAACTTTCGCGTTTATAATATTAAGTAAGGATTTTCAGTGAATATGTAAGCTTTTGCTTCACACGTTACATTCAATACGCCACCAGGTTTATATGAGTCTTTTTTTTTGCTGTATCATCCACCGTTGGGCTTACGGGCCTTTACAGATAGATCCACCGGGCTTGATGTGGCTAGACGCTGACGACGCCTAGCCTGTACCTCTATTATATAAGTCGTTTACACTTCGGAAAGACTAAATAATAGCTGAATTTCAATCCGCTACTTCCGATGGTAAAGGAACTTATTATACCATTATTTGTTTTATATTATTTATTACTTCAAGTCAGAGCAAATGTTTACAAAGTAACTTAGTGATGACTTCCAATTATATCAAATATTATACAAATTTCTTTCACCGTATTAAAAAAAAAGATAAAAGTCTCTCACAATAGCGAAACCATTATTGTTAAAGAATCTACAGCATTATACGCTATGAATGAGACTCAAGTTATTTTAAGATGCCGCGGGCAAGGTAAGGTCACATCGGCGTATACGAATAAATAGGAGTTGCGAGAAACTTTTGCGTCCCGTTAAACTTGATACGCACATCAAGATTTCCATAAAAAGCCTTCGTTAAACCTTTTCGGTCACCGCAAAAATGTCGTTATAACTTCGCGTCGAATACACGCTATGGCCCGGCAGATCTCTTCGGAATGCCTTTGTTTGGGATGCGCAATTAGTGTGGGCGTAGAGGCCAGATTGCTCAGGCTTTGCGTTCGAATTTCACGCTAATATTTTCTGTTCACTCATGACATATTTTCTCTCAATGAATTAATGAATTAATGAAGATCTATGAACATATGTATATGTAAGTATAACTAGAATTTATTACCCATTATTATATGCATAGTGCTTAATTCTACTTTACTGCCCTAGTCATTTTCTTTCTGTTTTACCTAGGGTTAGCTGGTAGATAATGCTGTATAGCATGAAGCTCGCCTTTGTACTATAATTTTAAGTGCAATAAAGATTAAATAAATAAAATAAATAAACATATTATATTTATTATAAAAACTTGAATTCCCTTATTTCATAATTATTACCTTATTTAGCACGTCATCCCCTGATTAAACTGAATAGAAAGAAGTCTAGCTGAGTAATAATTTGGTATTCTGGGACTAAAATAACTTTTTAATCTACATGGACTCTTTAAGATCTTTTGCTTTTAAAGCTATGAAAAGCGTTCATTTTTTCGATACCTGTTATTAAAAATGTTTGTCCAATTTACGACAACTATTATATGAAGCAATATAGCACGGTATCTCTCACTTCTCTATTAGGTTTAAAAGAGAGGTGTGTTTTTTGTACAGTATTACAATGTTTGTTTTAGCGGGTCGGCAGAACAGCGAACCTGACCCTTACTGTTGACACTCACACTTCCGGCAGATATATTTGTAAGGCAAACGTCGACGGATATCCGGAAATCGAAGCTGAGGCTGCCATTTACATAAAAGGTAAGTTCTTGTATGTAGTAAAGTAAGTAGTAAAAACGGCAAATGTTACAATTGTCAGGCTAGCCAGTAAGTAAAACAAAAAGATTTAATATAACAACCTTAAATCCTTACTACTATATACGAATAGTGATAGGAACCGAACAGTTTCCATATCTGTTTGCGGGATTTATGTTCATACAACACTTATTTTTTAAAGATAAAGAAATAAAGTTTATTTTTTACATGTTTTAACAGGTGATACGCGAAAATGTTTTCCTTTTTAAAAAGGCTGTACTTTTTAATTCTTTGTCTATATGTATTTTATTCTTTATTTTTTATTACATCTGTTGTTAAAAATTCCTATATGGTACCAAATTTGTGTACAATTAATAGGGCTATTATCTATGAAAATGATATACATTTACTTTGGTTGAAGTTATATATTTCAAGTATAATTTGAAAAGCTAACAAATAAAATAAGGACTTGCCTATGTATTATGTGGTATTCTAATTACTTCCAATTACTCAGCATATTTTAGTTACGTTACGCGTAGTTGTTACAAATTTGGGGACGGATCGTTACACTAAAATTAAATGGTTAGTGTTATGTATAATGACTCTTATTAAAGGGTTTTAGTACTTACATTGATTGTTGTACATTGATTAATATAAATGCGTTTCCTACTTTGGCGAGGCATAGACTATTTTAAGTGCTGATTTCCCATGTACAATCATTTTGTTAGCCTTTATAAAGGTGTCGAAGATAGACCAAGCGGTAGAAGTCATGTTCTACGTTTTAGTATAAATGAACATCATTTCTCATTAACAACTAGCGCTAATGAGTTAGACATAATTACTCTGTAACAAACACAAAATATGATATTTCTTAGTTTTATGATTGTACATAGAAATAGTACTTTGACGAACAAATAGTGCGCCAATTTTCTTTGTGGCAAATTGATGTTAGTCTCGTTTATTTTTTAACTGTATTATTACCAAGAAGAAATCAGAGCGGTCGGTATTGAAGTCGATATGGGACATTTTCCACCATTATATATAAAGAAACCTTGACTTACTAGCCTGAACAAACACCATTATGAATTGCCGTTTGGCCGTTTTGTGACGTTGTTATTCAAAAGGAGAAAGCTGATTATGGAACTCGCATCGTTTTATGCTACTCATTATGAATTTCTAATATAACTTAACACGTGGAAAAGTGTCGAACAATTGTCGATAATTGCGAATATCTTATTTCTTGTATTTACGAACGTACGTTTACGTTTACTGTACGTTTTCATGTATAACTTTTAAGGCTTTTATTGCGTTTTTATTCGTTTCTTCATTTTAAAGCGCAAAAAATCGTAGAATAGTTATTATACATAACTATTCTACGATTTTTTGCGCTTTTATAATATAAAGAATATAGAAAAGTTATTATTAATAATTATCAATTGCACATTTATTATTGACTTTAAAATTTTAATTTATTGACTTTAAAAATTACAGAGTTAACAAGTATGTTTTATTTATTTATATAGTTCATCAAAAATTGGAATAACTTACATTTATACCTTATTGGACCCGCCCGTCTGTACATCCGATCGATTTCACAGTATAATGCCTTATTGGGTCCGTCCCGATACGTGAAATGGATCGATAGATTTCGTAGCACAGTTTATACAAAAGGCAATTTTGAACTCCAACTAACCTCAAGGATTCCGACACATTCAATAACTAATAACAAGAGCCCGGTCGTAGATCATTAGCTAAAAGCTAACGTGTCAAACGCGAACTATATTATTCATTCTTATGATAATTCCTCATGAAGGTCACGGTAAAAACGTTCGGCTTAATATTTAAGGATTATTAGAAAAATATGGGCGACAAGAAATATTCACATTAACTTGTCACGGTTAAAGAGGCGTTATTCACCATTACTTTACTTAATAGGTTTTTGGAAAAATATTCGGTTCAATTTATGCATACATGAAGAAATAACTTGCTCACATAATATACTAAGTTCATACTAAAACCAGACTTAATAAAAGTGGAAAAGTGTGGCTATCTTATCTGAATTAAATAATTTCTCTGCTTATTCAAAACTTTCAAGTTATAACGTCATTTTACCCTAAATATTAGACAGTGGTTAACACTTAACTTTACAAAAAAACCTCATTAGTGTCATAATAGCGTCTTTGACCCATCGACGTCATAACGTGGCGGTATAACTTGATAAAAGTGCAGCAATAAATTTCAAGTCAGCCGAGTTACGAGATAAAACCCCTACTTTAAACGTGAATTGGTTATCTAAAACATAATAAAGCGTTCTTAATCCAATTATAGCTGAATACAGATACAAAATTAATAATCTCGACCTGAGAAATTTTGGTTATAATTGAGTTCAATGTTGTCGATTTCTATTACGTAAAATTTTTCACTTGTATATAATATTTGTGCTTATTGGAAACCTTAACTTGGAAATTATACAACCTATGCAGTTATCATTATTATTATAATCCAATTCTATAACTGTAGAAATCTGTTTTTGATTACATTATATTAATTAAAATTTAGAATATTCTTAAAAAAAAGAGAACGTACCAAGTACATAAATGTTAAAAGGTAAAATTCAATCAACGTTTTAAAATTCGTTGTTTTCTAAATATACGTTTTAATAATTTATTTTCTTACTTTTAATTAATGTTAAATATTTTTAATTACATTATTATATCAAATATTTAATTATATTGGTCTTAGTTTTTATCACTTTGTTGTCTCATTTTACCGTATATGTAGTATTTACATTATCATAGTAATAAATTAAGCGCTTAGAACTTATGCATAAAAACAATAAGATTCGATTCGCTCCGATAAATAACGTTGGAAATACATATTTCTATAAGTTTCGCTTTACGGCGTCAGTATTGGCAATCTTTCGTGCAACGTCATCCCCTTGGGTACAGTAACATGCGCACTGGAACACTTTAGAATCATATCCAGAACAGATTCACAGATGATATAATAATCTCACTAAAATAGAACAGAAATCTATCTAATACTATATACGAGTATATAAAAATGAATTGCTGTTCGTTAGTCTTGCTAAAACTCCAGAACGGCTGGACCGATTTTGGTAATTTTGAAATATTTGGGGAAGGTTTAAACGATGAAAAATTGTAGAAAAATTGCATGGAGAAACCAAATAGCCACAATTTTATTTTCCCATACCAACTGTTCCTACCTGTCTAAACACTTAATGCATGCGTTCCGAAAATTTTATTTTTACAGGTTCACAAATTCCTAGAAATCATTTATGTGGCAAAACAACGTTTGTCGGGTCAACGTTTGTAGAGTCCAATACAATGGAACAAATATATAACTTATGAAAATTACGATATTGATGTTAAAAATATTGTCCAAATTAATCATAGGTTTTGAAATATTTCAACCATACAGTTTTAACTCTGTATGTGTTTTAGTTTAACGAAAATTTTACTATGAGAGTGTAAATACTAGATATACAGTAAAGTGACATTCCAAATACTTAGTGCGATATAATTACATATCTATATATTAATACTTGAGCAAAAATTTTGTAACCCTTTTTTGAAAATTGCTTTACACTTACAGTTTATACAGAGAAGGCGTGCAGAATGCTATTTTTTTTAATTATGCTTAAAAATGCATTAAATCAATTAAAAAAAATATTTCACACTACCATGTATAATTAATTATGGTCGAATTTCGACCACTGAGCGACCACTAGGTTAGGTTAATATAATTAAAAAAAATACTTTACTTTAATTAAAAGTACAAAAAAAATAAGGTCTCCTTTTACACACCGAATAAAAATAAGTAAGAATTTGTAAAGACCAATTATTGCACTTAAGCTCTCAGTTACATAAAAATATATAAATCTGTTATTGGCGAAACATCTTCCTTTATAAATTTTACGTATATATTCTGGTATCCATTTTCTATTATCATCTTTATAAATATTCAATATTTATAAATCTCTGAAAATACTTATTTCGTGCATATATTTTACACGTAACTCAACTGTATTCTGCAATAAAAGTAATTCATTTTGAATTTATGTTTCACGTACTGTGTCAGAACGAACTATTCAATGATGATATTTGAATTATGTAAGGATTTTGTTTTATTTACACGATTGTTGTATGCATTACTGTATTTTTTAATTTTTTGTTAAATTTAATTTTTTGTTGCGTGTTTCTTTTTTTTGGTAAATAAATTTATTTTCTTTATTTCTTTCTAACGTTTAGAATTGTTTTAGGACCACCCAAAATCATCTCTAATAATACGCAATTTGGGTCACAAGGAGACAGCGTCAATATAGAATGCGCTGCCTTTTCCATACCAAGGATAGACAACATTATTTGGACTTTCGAGGGGAGTGAAATCGATGCAATGCATGATCAGGTACGATATTGGGTATCACATGCTTAGATACTTTATCTGAGATTAGACTGTTTTTTTAACGGAAATTAGCGCTTTCAGTCCCGAGACTATAAAAGCTTCATCGGACGCAAACGTCATGTTCTGACTGACTTCAAAAGTACATCGTCCATGGCATACTACCTTCATCTATTGGCTACCGATTATGATTTAATTCAAATGTCTATGATTTAATCGATGTTATGTATCGTAAAGTAACAATTGTTGAAATTTTCAATATTAGTCGTATTTTCGGAAACATGTATATATCCCTTAATACCTTAAGTACCTAAGTTTATTTCAGTTGTCATATTTGAGTAAATAATGTTGGGTATGAAACTTGTAACCGTGCTACGGTTACAAGTTTCCTTAAACCATCTAGGCAAATATTTAGAGCGATCCATTAAAAAGCCCTTCGCAACAGTGATACCGTTTTAATCGTGTAATTGCCCAATCCAGGACTACGCTTTCTTAGAAGATTTACAACCGGGTGGTGTCGTAAACTCGACACTTATCATCAGAGAGAGTCAGTCGAGGCATTTCGGAACATATAAATGCAACGTCTCCAACGAATATGGCAGTGACATATTGGAGATAACACTACGGCCCAATAGTAAGTGCATGTAACAAACTACCCTAAATTAATTATTATAATATATTATAATTATAATATATAGAGAGTATTTATAAAATTATTTAGCCTTTCTGTACGAACACTGAAAAAAATCTTTTTTATTTCTGTCACATTGTACGGCCCAGTAGTAAGTGCATGTAACAAACCACCCAAATTTATTATCGTAGAGAGTATTTGTAAAATTATTTAGCCTTTATGTACGAACACAGATAACAAAATAATCAATTTTATTTTTGTTACATTGAAAATTATAATTAAATTGTTTCTGAAGTAATTGTGGAAAGATTACTGAGGGACAAGATTTTCAAATCTCTTAGGATTGCATCAGATTTTGTATGATATTAAACAAATTACGGAGCGAAATATCAAAGATTACGTTTTTATTGTTAGTTTTTTTTACATTCATATTTTTCTATTGGAAAAGAAATGAGATATAAATATTTATCTGATGTTGACCTTTTTTATATTTTTTTCCTATGTCGTATCTCTTTATGTAAAATGTATGTTTATTAACATTTAATGTTTCCCACATATTGATATTCAATGAAAATATCGCCATAACGCGTTTAATACGGCAATTTTGAAGGACGTTTTTTTATGACGCACATAGATACAGGGATTAGGCCGTTCGAGATATTTATGGAAGTAAGAATGTCTCTGGGGGCAGTTCCAAAAAGTATCGACGGATATGAGTATTATCCGAGTATCTTTGACGAACCCCATTACGCCCATAACGGGTGCCTAGTACGTCGTAAAAATATCGACTTTGTCGCGTAACGGTCTCTCTACGTTGGACTTAGGATCCCTGGCTTCTCCGTTAAAATTGAAAGTCAGAAGACTTTTTCTCCAATTATCTTCAAATGTTCCATTTTTAAATTCTAACGAGCTTACTTTTGATTTTTTTTTTTAAATTTCATGTCACCGTTGTTAGGCAGTACGGCGGTCTACTATATCGTGACTAAAAAGAAGGCAAAGTAAAATTTAATGTTCGAACGATTTCTATTTAGCAACAATGTTTAATGTAAATTAAAATTGTCGTAGTATTATTTATTGATACCCCTCGGCATCTGTTTTAAGATGAAAAAAAGCAAGTCATAAGTAGGAGCAGTCTAGAATATCAAATGAATTTACTACACTATGGCTATTTATGTGTAAGGTTTGTGTGTGAAATTTCATATCTATGAAAAACAAAAGATACAATATAACTCAGCAACTACCCGAATTTTATCTTTCCATGTTCTAAAGATCTCAAGCATTAATCGAGCTGACAGATTTCTGAAAATCGAGCTGGCAGATTGTTTATAGAAAACAAAATATATGATATAACTCACTAATTACCCGATATCTTTTAAAGATCTTCATAATTAAATCACATGACGACAGATTTTGATTGTACAAAATTCCTTTCTAGAGTCCTTCCCGTTGCTGTTGATTTTGTTTGGGGTCACATCCGGCACAATAATGGTGGCGGCGCTGATTATGCTAGTGATATTGTGTCAGAGGAAACAGAGGAAAAACAAACAGGCCCAGATGACTGAGAAGCCGGACGTAACTGTCACTGCTGAGGAGTTGTTCAAAGAAAACGACAGGAATTCAAATATCAGCGATCTGAAGCTGGAACTAAGACAGACGAATGGTAGCGTCGAAGTGGTAAGTATTGATTATATCGATATCGATATCCCTCCGTTGGTTCTCACCTGTATTTCTTAATTAAGTTTCAAGTGTGGTGGGGCCACGTAACAGCTTCGGTGCTTTATGCTTCATTGTTGCATAGCCGGGTAAGTACCACGACCTCAAAGAAGACCGACGTTTCGTCCGGTGACTGAGGTAGCTGGTGCCAACTTGATTAAAAGGTGGCAACGCATCTGCAACCCCAAAAAAATACGAATATGTCATCATTGCCATATATGCAATGCCATCAAATCAATTAGGAATATACGGCTCTATTTGAAATCTCGTTCAGTTTCATTCATCTATCGCGGCGCGAGCAAATGTACTTGCACAAAAGTTTTACATTTATACTACCTTATTTAAAACTAGCTGGCGTGACCCGGATTCTAAGTTATATAAATCGGAATTACGTTCAATCTGAATTATATTACCAAACATTAGAATAGTGGCATGAAAACTGTTTAGTAAATTAGTTTTTTTTAAACTTTAACATTTATATATTAATGCAGATAAATTTAAGAATTTTATAACATTAACATTCATATGAATTCACAAAGCTGTTCGGTTTTTCTTCTAGTTTAATTTTATATGGATTAGAAATTATGCAATAAAAATTAAAATTTACACTTAAAAAATTACATCCAATGCAATTCGGGGATCATGTAATGTCCGAATTTTTAAGAATCGTTTTAGTAGATAAACTAGATTATTACTCAATAAATACAAAGATAAAGTAAAAATTTATTAATGTTTATAATATTACAACTCTACACGACCTAATTACGTATTATAACGGGCGTGAAACTGCTAACCGAACTAAAGTATATCAGCATATCATCCAACGTTTATTTCCCCTCGTGAAGGATTACTCCAACACTGGTTCGGACAGCACTCTGTGTTCGAATGCGAAATTAGGGAGCGGCATACCATTAGCCGGTACAGTGCCCCTGCCGTCCGTGAACCAGGGCAACACATACCAGGGCTACAGATATAGCAACGACTATTCGGATCCTGCGTTCTCGGACTGCTACAAGGTGCGTATTGGGTCCTATTTTATTACTATACGCTTGATAGTTTCGAATGTTCTTTTACAGACGCGAATACTACACATCATTAAATAATGTCATACGATTTATACTGTTTGATTTAATTTTGAATTTCGAACGCTTTACAGTACTATGCATAAGAGTCACACGAGCTGTACGGACCGCAACTTGATGCTTTTAACACCGAAATATGAAATTAAATTAAATACTATGAAAACTGTAAATTTGTTTCATTAAGTAATATTTGTTGAGATTTAATTTTTAATAAATGTAATTGGAAGCGGTGATGGTTTAGTGGATGGTTCATCTATATATGTTTCTAATTGCAAAGCTCTATTGTCAACTCTATCGTTAAAAATTAGTGTATAACTACATGTATCAACAACAGTATTAATCAAACCTGCGATTTCATTTCAATTTATAAGATCACGACTATTGTTCATCATCGCTTCCCTACCACTGTGCTGTAAGTTATTTGTGATTTTAATTAATTCTCATTATATTTGTCATAGGTCAATAACGGATACCAAACTTACGTGCATTACGGTCATGATTATACTCCGGGCTCCTTAAGAGTTCAATCTCCAACACTGAGCAGCGACAAGTTGACACCTAATCGGTAAGAGCTAATTGGTTGACGTTTGAAAAAACTTTGTTTTTAAACGGTTTTATTTAGCTCGACACGTACGGAATTTGTTTGTTTACTTGGGTCAAAATTAGAAATTGAAATTTAAGCACCTTCCCGTTGTCAGATTGATCTGAAATTTTGTACACACATTTAATTTAGATGACAATACAATATTGTAGTTTTCAGTGCACAAAAAAAAAACATAAAATAAAACCGTTTAACTTAAAAGTTTTTAAACGGTTTTATTATCGAGTTCATGTTTGATTACATACATTATACATAACTACAATAATGCTATAATTTATAAATTAATGTGTGACATGTTGTGCCGACCCCTATTAGTGCGGGATAAGGGCAGAAGAAAGAAAGAAAAGATATGCTATAATGTAAAATATCAAAAAAGAAAAAAATATTTAGTAAGTAATATGAAAAAATGCTATTCATCCTGTTAAATTTCTTTTGTTTAAAAAGTTTTATTTCTTTCGATCTATATTGTCAGATTTAATCCAGGAGATGTTTTATAAGGATGATGAAGCATAGAAATATTTTTTTATATTACCGCTTTTAAAGCTAGTTTATCGAAACTTAGCGTTGAAAAGTCTTACGGATACGAAAACGAGTTGTTTGAAATATCTTTTTCAAAACTTGGCTTTTTTATTCGAAAAAACTTTGAAATTATGATGAGATATAACTTGAATAAGTCATTTGAACAGGTATCAAGAAAGGTAAGGAAAGGTTAAGGAAAATTAAATTAAGAGAACGTTTTTTGGAGCCAAAAATAACATTTAAACGCAATTTATGATTATGTTTCTATTTTTATTCCTAGTTTATATTCAATGCATGAAATCTAAATCTAAGTTTAATAAAAGACGCGGAATACAGAGGACCGACATTTAGTCGATCGATTATCTACTGAACTCACGTTTAAATTGTAAATACACATTGACACGCACGTAATAATCTTCAAACTAAGGCGATACGTTCCTCAGGTCAATAAACGGCAGTTTGCCTCGTAGCGGCGACTTGCCCGCCCAATTCAATACGGGGAACAGCAGCTCGCAGAATAATTCATTGCAACGCTCGACCAAGCGAAAAGACAGTAGCAGCGCATTAAATAATTTGGGCTTGCCAACTGCCGAAGGTAAGATCTAGATCTAGAGACTCATATGGATATTGAATTATGCAAATGTATCAGTTGCTAAACTAGTTGATTCAATATGCCGTGCGTAATAATTCGTGAAGGATCTTGAAGACTTTTATTATTATCAGGCCAATCTACGTGAAATTAATTAGTTATTTCGTCTCATAGCTTCACAAAAGGCGTTTTACAAATCCAAAATAAGCACACCCATTTTTTACACACCTAAGTGGATATCGAACCCACGACCCCCGGCGCCGAAGCCAATACCTTGGGGACTACGCCACGGAGTCATCATTTTTAAGATCACTAATGAATAATTTCTCCTCACAGGTAATAGAGTGCCGAACGGCGGTATATTGCACGGTGTAGACGTCCGTTTCGCCGCAACGTACGGCAATCCGCACTTACGGACAAACGCCAGCCTCGGTTTTCCTACCGTGAACACAGCCAAGCCGGCATCCACGCCAGCGCCACCACCATATTCATCCGTCAGGAGTTCTGTTATCCTCCCGTCAGGTGAATATATTACATACAAATATCAATTTCTTTTTTATGCGGATAGGTTTTTTTCCACGCTGAAAGAAATTTGTATTAAACATTTTATTGCGTTCAAGTTAGTAAGTATCTACTTTACCTACTATACTACCATGTTTGAAAAGTTAAATATAAAATCCCGTTCAAATTGTAAGTTAATGAAATTAACTATTAATAATTCTAACTTAACTATAAGTAAATGAAATAAATGTTACAATTTTATTATATATATACATATACTTAATAATTGTTGTTTATGCTTAATATGTTAGCGGCAAGTATTTGCGGAGCAGAGTCGCGGAGAGTCTGAATCCGTGACTTCTGCTTATGCCTTTCGATAGATGTTTGTTCTATAACAAATATACAACTTTTACTCTTCTATCATTACCTCTTTTCATTGATTACCAGCCATTTACGTATGGCTGTACTTTAATTTTATTTCGTGTGATAATTTCTTTTGTTTTTCTTATTATTTATATATTTGATTACGGATTTTACGTGTTTATTTTTAAACTGTATTTTACCCTTTTCATCATTCATTGTCACCGGACACTGTGACTGTCTGACTGACTGATTGTCTGTCCCATGACCATGAACGCTGATAAAGGTTCGAAAGTTGGATAAAATATAAAAATGAAAGTGATAGATCCATAATTACATTCAAATTTATGTTGTCTGATAGGCAACTCTTCACACTCGATAACGTCGCCTACGAGTCTGGCGTCCCCGCAATGTGCTACGAGCCCCATAACAAACTCTACGATGTCTACGGACAGCACTCAGCCAGTGGTCAGTATCGTTACAAATACCTATTTGATATAATTGTTTATATTAGCCCTAGGAATAAAATATGCAGCACATTTTTAAGTTAATCATTAACCTATATGATATATTAGGTTGGGGAAGAACTCTTTTCGAAAATAGTATGTAAGGCTATACCATTAGTATCTGGCTGGTTTTGGTATTATTAAAAAGTTTAAATTTTTAAAAAGATAATTTCAAATTCAAATTAGGAAAATGTGTGATTTTCATTTATTTTTCTTACTATTGCGTGATTCTAATGAAGAAATTACATACATTTAAAAATTAGTAAAATTTTAGAAAAAAGATAAAAACGCAACGCAAGCCGCGAAAAAAATTTGTGATATTTATCCTAGTGCAGTATCTGTGAGAGTAGCACAAATTTTGTTTAAGCGTTTTCAATCCGGAAATTTTGATGTCAAAGATGCACCTCGCTCTGGGCGCCCTGTTACGGATAAAATGGATGCCATTTTTAAAAAAGTGGAACAAGATCGGCATATCAGTAGTTTCGATGTAGCTAAAGAACTGAGAATTTACCACAAAACAGTTTTGGCGCATTTGTAAAAAGCTGGGTACACTAAAAAGCTCGATATTAGGGTGCCTCATGAGCTCACTGAAAGAAACCTTATGAACCGTGTACTCATTTGTGATTCTTTATTACGACGTAATGAAACCGAACCATTTTTGAAAACCCTGATAACTGGTGATGAAAAGTGGATCACATACGACAAGAACGTGTGAAAAAGGTCGTGGTCAAAGGCTGGTCAGGCTTCACAGACTCTGTCAAAACACGGGTTATCTCGCAACAAGGTAATGCTGTGTGTATTTGAAGGGCATTATTCATTATGAGCCGCCAGGCAGGACCATTCATTCTGAACACTACCGCGAACAACTGATGAGATTAAAGCAAGAAGTAGAGAGAAAGCGGCCGAAATTCAACAGAAGGGGGTGTGATTTTTCATCTTGATAACGCTAGACCTCACACATCTTTAGCCACTCAGCAAAAATTAAGAGAGATTGGCTGGGAGGTGTTAATGCATCCGCCGTATAGTCCTGACCTTGCACCTTCAGATTGCCACTTGTTTCGGTCTCTTCAGAATTCTTTAGGCAGTCTCAGGTTAAAATCACGAGAGGACTGCCAGAATTTCTATAGCAATGGGATCATGTCGCTACCTACAAGATGGCAGAAAGTTATTGAACAAAATGGCACCTACATACTTTAGTTAAATGTTAAACTTTATTAAAAAATGTATTGAATATTCATATAAAATACGAAGACTTTTTCCCCAACCTATTAATTGTTTATAAATTAGCCTTATATATAAAATATACCGCACATTTAATCACTAAAAAATTTTAAAATGATTGCTGACATATTTTTCAAGTATATAATTTTGTACGATTATGAGTTACTTAATTAAAAATTTATCTTTCAATTGAAATAATAAAAATTCTCTAATTCTTTTTATGGGAACTAACTATGTCAACCATCATTGTAATCGTTTTTAATAGACGATTCCAATACAAAACTTCGTAATATACGTAGGGAAGACTAGTTTCAACTCCATTTAGACCTCACCATGTAATTAGGCAATTTTCCACGATACATCCCCAATATGCATAATCAATGATGAAATTAGTGTACACAGACCGCACAGCGTGAACTTCTAGCTAATTGCTTGGGTCGCAATTAGTCCGTTTATACCAGCCTTTAGAGCAGGTTAGCAGAAATTTTGGGCGAGCTTAGTGTAAGGTGGATATTCGTAGGCTAGTGAAGGTTAATAAAGCGGCTAAAAATTTAACTAATACTGCAAATCACGCTGAATATTAAATATTAGTCTGTGGAAGGTTAAATTTTATAACGCAGGCATCGCTGAAACGTTCCCTTTTCCGCTCAAGTTATGTACGGACAAAGCAATGCGAAAAACATGTACCTAGAATCGGTTACCTAATATTAATGTACCTATTAATCATATCAGTAGACTAAGGCTGCAATACAAATAAAATGAAGAAAATTTCAATTACATTACAAGTGCGCGATACGTAGCTTTTCTTTAGTGAAAAAAAAATTGCTTGAATTTGAAATTTGGGAAGGTTTTACTATAAAATAGAACCTGTTTACTTTAACAAAATTTACATAACTAGAGCATATATGCATACTTATAAAAGTATTTTGTCAAGCACTTTAAATTATATTAATATATATTACTGGATTTTAACGTCTTAAAAGAGAAACTACAAAAAAGTAACCACATTTTCACAGATAAATAAATAAAAATATATTGAAAATAAATACACAAATGAAAGATTTTTTAGAGATCTAAGTAACAGTTTTTGGCGGTTTAAAAATCAAGCTTATTATACCAGGCTTATTATACCTTATGTTCACCTGCTTCATTAGTTGCTTCAAGGAGCCCTTACGAGAGGAATAGGTGTCACAACCAAAAGATGTACTCATTAGCTTAGGAAATTTAGGTTCTGTATGTTAATCAGATCCAGAATAGATATAGGAATTAACTTCTTAAAATAACAATGATTGTAGTAACCGGGTAATCTTATAACTTTGACTCAATGTTCAGATCCCAGGTTCTAATCGTAGATTATACGAGTATATAGACTCAGCAAAATTTGATAGTATAAGCTTCTATAGTATAAGCTAGTATTTATTCAGGATAAAATCATTGAGGGCTTGGTTAGAACATAAACGATTAATGGCGTAGAGAAATGAAAATTTTTGATGTAAAATGGAAATACATCTCAAAAATAGCGCTAAATGAGTAAACGTAAAAGAAACACACATTTTATAGGGGAAATGCGACATTAAATTGACTATGAAAGCTTTTAACAAAAAAAGTTTAGATTTTATCCTCAATTAAGCAACCACGCTTAACTAAAACGAGTCATCGCAGTTTGTAGACGCGTGGGCAAAAAGCCATCTTGGCTTTTACACTAACAGGGCAAGCTCTTCAACATAAATTCATGTACATTTCGCGCGGGAACTTGGGAACACATTAAATTAAAAAAAAATATAACAAAACAAAGAACTTACAAATTATTTTCATCTCGTTTCTTAAACTAAACAAAAGTATACAAGAAAAACATGTTTGTCAAACCTTTTAACTGGACAAAATACGTTACACGGTACAGATTCTATTGTTATGTGTGATTGTGTAATAAAGTCACTTTCGTACGCGAATCCAATCCTCTCTGTCAATTGAGACATTTCCTCATTGTTGACAATATCTAAACGAAGAATATGTCGGTATTATACATTTTCCAATCATCCGAATTTACTTGCACATAGTGAAGTAAAAACTTTTACCATCATAAATTATATCACCAATATATAAGCAAGTTTTAAAGAAAACAGACTGTAATAATGACCACTCACGCAATGGAATAAAACAAATCCATCCAGCTTTAACCTATAAATCCAGTTAGGTTGAATGTACTATCGATATAAAATTACATTTCGATTCACTGAAACTACTTTTTTTATTAAAATAAATTAAAATTTTACATCAATATTTTATATAACCTCACTTGATTTCAACCTTTCGCGATTATCATCATGTTCCGTTAAATAACCGTATTGATTCACTAAATATCACTTGCTAATGTAGAATCAACTATCTAACGGTTACAAACATCGAGGCTATTGACTCATTAGGGGTTAATGTCGTCGGAGATGAATGAGACGCATCGCTGGACGTGTGTGATTGCGCTAATCTCGGGATTGTGGCTTCTCGCAATGGCTGATTGCTTCTCAACTTTGCTCGGGCCTCAGTGGACTAATCTGGGAAATCCCGCAGGTCGGGGTAGCCACGTCATCGACCACGCCGCAATCGCCGAGCGCCCATTACATATTAGCCCCGTCTAATCGCACTCTAAGCAACGCAGCGGTTACTAAGAAAGGTGAGTTTGTCGGTAGCAATGTCTATCTACTGTTTCAATTGAGATTTTTTTTATGTCGCAATATAGCAAGCGAGCTGGTGTCCCGGTGTTAAATGATAACTGTATAATACAAAAAAGGCAAAAAATCATGGCCGTTGTATGGTAGCCCAACTAAAATTTTATTTTATTTTATATTTTTTGTTATAGCGGCAACATTTCAACTGTCTAACTAACACGCATCATGAGATACAGCCTGGTGACAGACGGACAGACAGACAGACACACAGAGGAGTTTTAATAACAGGGTCCAATTTTACTCTTTGGGTGCGAACCCTAAAAATGGTTATTTGGTGAAATGGTACTCTTACAAGCCCGAACGTTTTGTTGCAATTACGTCACACTTGTTTTGTTTTAAACTTTTATTAAAATAGTGTACTCGTTTATGTTTCAACTTTCTTAGTTCGTGTAATACTAACACACACGTTTTGTTTCAGGGAATGGCAATCAGCAGCCATTAGCCACGCACGTGTAAGCTTAGTGAACAAACACTATCGGTTATGAAATTTAGAGTATCAATTATCGGACGTTCGCGTTTATCGAGTGAATTTCGAGTTTTTAAAAAAAAATATTTTTACACTCTAACGACTTCTGGATGTGCTTTGGTTATCCGTTTCTTCGGTTTAACTTGGAATGTGTGTAAAGCGTTGTGTTCCACGTAATTTGCTTTAACTTCTACGTTTCAATCATATCTACGTGTCCCACGCGACGTGGGGATGCCCTGGGAACTGTGACGCCATCGTACATATCTTCGTAACTTCGAAAGTACTCTGTCAATTTGCTTAGACTTCGTGACCGTTGGCCTTGTGTAAGAATTGTAAAGGCCGGTGGGAATAATGTGTCATTTATCGCTGTTATAATTGAAAAGTTGTCAATTTCACACTATCCGAATGAGACTGCCCTTGTTATTGTAATTATTGGGCGCGTTGTCGCGTCACGTATGTGAATAGTAGCTAAGTAGATTTGTTATTGTACTGCTAAACGTTTATGGGGTCTGTTTCATTATGTCAAAGATGTTGTCTTCATGGTTGAGGCTGGGCGTTGGTTGATGTGAACAAGCTAATTGTGTGGTATACCACAAAGAAACTAGCTAACAAGCAACCAAGCGAGCGGAGTTGGTGCTCTATTTGCTTACCAGGATATTTCAGTTAGATTACCTCTAGTCGAAATTTACATAAATTTCCAAATTCGTCATAGTCGAAATTTATGTAAATTTCGACTATGAGGGATTATATTTATATTTCCTTATATCTGGTCTTAACCCTATGTGTTTTGTATAATACAAGATTGTTTTAATTAACTAATGTAACCATAAAAAATTCCATTATCTTATTACTTTCTATGCAATAATATTATCATTTGTAACAAATAAATTTATAAATAAAAATGTATAACTTTCAAAGAACTCTATATTCCGGTAGAGTATTGAGTTCAGATTCTTTTTGGAGGCGCAGTTGGTAAGTCATTGCCTTCGCCACCGGGTAGAAGAAGTAGATTCATATAAGATTCTTTGATGGTCAATTATTTTGAATAAGAACTTATAACTCTGGGAATGTTATGCAAACTAAATGATCCTTCCATATCTCAGTAGCAAAAAAATTTAAAGTTCCATAATAAAGCAAATTTTACTTTAGTACGTAGTCATTTGCGTTATAGAAACTATTACTTTCAATATAATGTTACGCTTCAGCTATCAAATAACATTGCATTTGTCATCTCCGATTTTTATCTTAATTAACTTTTATCGAGTCTATGCTCAAAAAAAAAAAAAAACATTATTTGAAATTTCGATTTAAGACTGACTAGTGTAACTAACCTACATGGACTTTTTGATCATTTAACTTGAAATAGAGCTCCACCGTAATACATAAAGACATCCCTAGGACTAATGAAAGATTTTGATATCTCTCAATTCATTTTTTCATCCATTTAAACGGATAGTTCCCATTTTCGTTTTCAAATTGTAACAACACACAATAGTTACATTAAAAATCTTAAGTTTTCCGATTTCTTCCAGAACTAGAACCGTTGTCGGACATATCCTATAAGCGCTATCGCATTGCTATTATTAACTTTATGAGTGTAATTTTTCCATGAAGTACAATTTCACGAAAATTATACAATTGTATTCGCGGTTTTAGGAATTTTATAGCTACACATTTAATGGACGGTTATTTAATTTAATAATTGAATATAATGAATAAAACATGCAAATAAATAATTATCATAAATATTTTCAATCAAAGGGTATTTTTCCTGAAAAGATGCAATTTAAGAAATGCTTTTAGAGTATCTGCTTACACACAGGTTACCTTAATTTAACTTATAGGTTGGATGTTGGTTAAAAAATCTATAATTTTTGTTATCAAAAATCTATACAAATATTGTGGTCAATTAGAAATAAAGTATTTAGAAATTATGGGTAATCATTTGTAGGACTTAGAATGATATCATTTTCTTTACTCGTACTAATTTATTTTATTCGTTTGAATATTCTTAAAACAACGTTTTACGGATTTTATCGCATAGGGCAATTTTCATTTCAAAATTCTAAACTCTTGATTCAACACAACTTATTAATTATTTATTAAAATAATTCAATACAGCGTCAATTTTCAATATTTCCCCATCTTTCGACACGGCCACAAAATGGCATTATACTCTATCATTCTGCCGTCACCTCCCAATCATTGATCGATTTGTTCAATGGCCTCAGGAAACTGGGCCTCGTAAAATTAACGATTGCGCTCGTTAAATTGCTCGCGCGTAAGAAATGCCCCTTTCGTCGTGGTCTCTATACACGAAAGGACTATGTCTAAATATACTTCTTTGGGTTAGTTTATATTGAAATTTTTAAAGAAGGCAATTTAACTCAATAATTGATTTTTCGAAAGCTACAAGAACACTATGTTCTAAACACAAGAACACTATGTTATAAACTTGGGTATTGCTAAGCTAGCAGTCGATCAGGACTTTCGTCGTGGTCTCTATACACGAAAGGACTATGTCTAAATATACTTCTTTGGGTTAGTTTATATTGAAATTTTTAAAGAAGGCAATTTAACTCAATAATTGATTTTTCGAAAGCTACAAGAACACTATGTTCTAAACATCATAAACTTGGGTATTGCTAAGCTAGCAGTCGATCAGGACTTTCGTCGTGGTCTCTATACACGAAAGGACTATGTCTAAATATACTTCTTTGGGTTAGTTTATATTGAAATTTTTAAAGAAGGCAATTTAACTCAATAATTGATTTTTCGAAAGCTACAAGAACACTATGTTCTAAACATCATAAACTTGGGTATTGCTAAGCTAGCAGTCGATCAGGACTTCCGAACATCACACTGTAGAGTATTATATAGTCCCAAACGTAAAACAATAAGTGACTGAAACAATGGAAGGTCAGGTAGGTAGACAGTAACGAAAACATTTCGTTGTTATCTTAAACGAAATTTGAACTACGAAGTGTCTATTTGTGTCTCGTCTCCATCTTTTAAATAAAAACACATAACTTTCTTTTTCGAGCTACTTCTTGTGACGCAAATAGAGGCTTGTTTTTGTGGTAGGGCCGTGCAACAGCTTCCACTGTTGCACGAATGGGCAGACTTGTCCGGGGAACTGCCATAGCCTCGCAGACTGATGGGATCTGAATGTGTTACAATTGTCCGTTTCATCTGAGCTATGTAACTGAAGCCCATCTTACAGCACTTCTGCAACTCTACTCTGCGTTCTAACTAAAAAACAAAATTACCAAAAAATATGCCACAGTTCCGTTTTACTATATATTCGTTTTAACACGGGAAATGTTTGCTTTTTTGAGGGTATTACCGTAAACGCAAAAAAGGTAAAGTGATACTAGCATGATTTTTTTAAATAAAAGCATTTTATAGTTTTCGGTCGATTTTCTTTTCACATTTGAATATCGAACTGTGCCTATGATAACGGCTCTAATTAGTTAGACTTATGAGTTTAGAAAGTATTATGAAGTACAATATAATTCGTGAGACTTAAACTCCACTATATATATGTAATGTAAATGGCCTAGGTTTTCGTATTGTTTAGAATTAATCGCTTAGTCAAATCATCCGTCTTTAATGCGTGTAATAATTGTAACGAAACTTTATGTACTTCTTTTTGACTTCTTGATAATCCAAATAAAGGTTACACCATCACTGCGAGGAATCCGCAGTTAATCGGGTTTTAGACTACAATGATATAGATATTATACGAGAACTCGTACCATATTATTATTGTTTTAATTTCTATTTGTAGACATCTCTTTACACAACATATGAGGTCCTCTTGTTAATATTACAATTTAATGGATAATATACCGATTAATGATATTTTAACAAATCATTTTATCTGTAATTTTAATACGCCCTGCGAGCATCCCTCAATGACTTGCAAAATCACTGATTCGACCATCCGGTCGAAATTGTGATTTACAGGAGTATTTATGAAGTTTTCTTCTATTAAATTTTCTTAAATAATAAAAAGTTCCTCGACTACTTTATCGTTGTTTTTATTAATCAGACTGCAGTTAAATTATATATTGTAGTAAATGCTTAAGAGTACAATTATACGTAGTCGAGTTGTGTTCGTACGTTATTAAAATTTTAATAGGTCGAAGGATTGTATGCCCTATAATAACTAACTGTTACCGTAACGGAAAATTTATAATTTATTTTCGCATGGCGTAATCTTCATACGTTCAAAACACCTGTTATAAGATAGTAAATTAGTCGGTATATTTCTCACTGTATTGCTCTGAATATGCGCAGTGTGAAAATATCATTTGCTACATTTGGGGGGCCCTCTATCACCGAAAAGCTTTGTTTTGTCGCTGACGACATTTCCACACTGAGCAATCGTGTAATTATTTTTTCTGTGATACATAGATTAAAGTGTTTTTGTAAATAATAAACCGCAACTTTTGTAATTATACGAGTGAAATTGTTAATAACTACAATGTTTAGGTGAAATTTAACTAAATGAAATAAGACAACCTGTAAAGCTTTCTGATTTCGTGAAGTAACTTTTAGATGATATAGACAATTAAGTAATGTAAAGTAAACGTTTTAACGGAGTGAGATAAAATTAGTTAGTGGTGCATAGTAATGCGGTGTTATGAATTTGCAACGTGAAAACTATTAAGCTAGTTAAATTGTACAAAATACTTTTTTAAATAAAAATAAACAAACTTTGGCCTACGTAATCTGAGATGTTGTTTTATTTACTCCTTGTGAGGCGGCAATTTGTTTCAGGATACCAAGAACGCTACAACTGACCTATACTTGTATGAAGTCAAACGCATTTGAATGTGGTAGGGCCACGCAACATTTTGCTGATGCACGTATGGACAAGTCCGTCCGGGCAAGTACCACGGCCTCACTAAGACCAGCGTGAAGTGGAAGCGTGTTATGTAGCGCTTGGCCTGGCGAGTGAGGCAGCCGGGGCCCACTTTAT